TTCCTCTTCCAGGAATGGCCGTAGCTGCCAAAGCAGCTGCAGTTGGTCAAAGGCACTTTGAGTCACTGTGGCTGCATGACCCTCCAGGGACAGAGCACCTCCAAGCTGCAAACCTGCTTCTTCAAGGGAAGGGCAACCCCATCCCAGGGAGGCACCTGGCCAATTTCCTGGACATGGGAGCTACTGACCCACAGTCCCTCTGTCTTGCCAGGATCCAAGCTCAGTCCAACCTCAGGATCCAACCTCATCCTTCTCAGCGCTGCATCCAAGCAGTGGCCCAGGGGCATTGCAGCCTCTCCCGATTCAGATGTCATGGAGAAATAGAGCTGAGCGTTACTGGCATACTGAGGAGGTTTGCATGGGGATAAAATAGAGAAATTGCCAGACTTCCTAGACAGTCTTTCTAACCTAACCTGTGCTGATCTCTCCTGAATTGCTAGGCTGCTGTTCTTAGGGCCCCTATCTAGCTTCCTGTTCCCCCCTGCCCCATGCAGGGTGGTCAAAATATTAGGGTTCTGGGACTTCCGGGTTAGCGCCATCGACTAATGGCGGATTCCCTCTGAGCTCCGGAGGGAATCGGCTCCGCAGGATCAGGTCTTGCCGCTGCGGCGACGCGGGGACCCTTAAAAATCACAGGCGGTGAAGCCTGTGAGCGTGGTGACTCGGCGGGCACCATTTGCTCCCCCCCGACCCGCGAAGGAGCCTTTTTAAAGGCTTCGGAATGGGGGACGGGGTGAGCGGCGCGGTGCTGAGAGTCGACTGCTTCTCCTGCGGAGTGAAGCCGACCTGCCATGGTCGGAGAGCGCTGACTTCTTCTTGTGAGCAATTGGACTTTAAAGTAACAACCCGTGAGTAGTACGGAAATTGGAATTGTAAAGAATTTTTTTATGAATTAGGCACGATCGGGGAAGGTGTAAACAGGAAGTCTGCCTCCCCTCCTTGTAAATAATTTAAAGCAAGGACCTGCTAACTAAGGTCGAGAGAACCTTTTTGTTTTTCCTTCTTTGGTAAAAGATTTTAATTTCACGGTTTGGCAGCATAAGAAATCTTACTGGAGGATAAAGAGCTAACTTTCGGAACTGAAGTGCCACCCCCCCAGACTCAGGAGTGCTCCGCGAGAGAGCCTGTTGATGAGGTACTGAAGAGTTTGACAGCTGTCAAATTAGCTGTCAAGACGGAAAAAGAGAACTTTGTTTCTGTTGCTTCTGCTGGTTATGTTTGTTACAATTTTGTTACAATTTGTTGAAAACAAGGAAGAGCTGATATAAACTAACTTGATTTTTGGATTTGAACTGGAAGGAATATTAAGGAACCAAAATCCCTCTAGAGGGGGTTGTAGGACATTACAAGAATGGCTGGAGAAGGGAAAATTCAGGCTGAACTGGACAGAGTATTTGTTCTCTTGGGAAAGTTACAAGGCCAAATTGATGTTTTGGCTACAAATGTTACAACTCTGGACTTAACAGTAAACAACATCATTGAATTTGATAAGGATTTGAATCAGGAAGCCTATTCAATTGGACAAAAAGAGAAACTTGAGAGCTTTGAGAATTTGGAGAAGGAGATATATGTTGTCCCTGAAGAAAAGGAAGGAGGAGCTGTAATTTTGCAGATGACAAAGGAGAGTTTGAGGCCTGACATGATGGCAACAAAGGAAAATAAAAGCTTGATGTGGAAAATTTGGCCTGAATTGGAGATTGAAAAATGGAGAGATCTCCTTATGTGGAGATCTGAAGACCTAAGGATTACAAATTTGCTTAAGGTGGAAGTTGGAGCTTTGGGGACATTTGGACTTGAAAGGAGTAAGAAACAAGATTCGGGCTCCACTTTTAAGTATGGAGGTCTGGCTGGAAGAAACATGGATCTCGTGGGGCCAGAGCTTCTCCGAGATTTGGTGTTCAATATTAAGGACTATCAAAAAAAACCGGCAGAGAGGAGTTGAGAGAGAATTAAGAGCCTCGGATGTGAGATCTCCAGGCTGATAGTAGATTAAGACTGATGGACATTTGTTGGGGACTGAAACCGGGAAAGGGGGGGTGGAGTCTGGGAATCCAAAGGGTACATAATTATAATCTGTTCTGTTTTCATTTTGTTTTGTTATTTGTATGAAAAATGGGAAATTCATGGAAGGGAATTTGGGTCGACTTTAGAAAATATGTTTTAAGAATGAGTATTGATGTATAAGTATTGATGTATAAGTTTGGATAAGGCAAAATTGGATAAGGATTTGCTGAACTAATAATTTGAATTGGAATACAAGAAGGGGAGGTATGAGGAGGTCAGGGAAATTTGTTATTGAAAAATAAGTATTGTGAACTCTATGTGTTTTTAAACTCTTTTTCTTTTTCCTTTTTGATTCTTTTTTATTGTATTAAATTTGAAAACTTTAATAAATATCTTAAAAAAACAAAACAAAATATTAGGGTTCTGTATCCAATACCATGAGGGTTTAGTCTGGACAGCCAATAAAATCCTGACAAGGACATTTACTGAGGCATTGCAAGACTGGTGCAACACCTCAACCAGCAAGGAGTTTGGGGTGGCGCACCAAATATGAAAACTGTGCATCATCCATACACTTCCAAGCAAAGGGGCAGTTATGTCCATCTTTGGCAATACTTCCTTCTACAAGCTTATGCTGGTTTAATCATGAGGCAGAACAACTTTCTTCTAACTTCCTTACCTCTTCTGCAGAGACTGAAATAGCAGGCACATCTCCTTTGCATGTCCATCTTAGTTAAATAGGATTAGGGCCTCTTTCCTGTGTCTTATAATGAACAAGCTTTTCTTCCCCTCCCCTACACTTACAAGGAGGGGAGGGCTTCTTACACGCTTTAAGTCAAGGGTCAGCAACCTTTTTCAGCTGCGGGCCAATCCACCGTCCCTCAGAACATGTGGTGGGCCGGACTATATATTTGAGGGGGAATGAATGAATTCCTATGCCCCACAAATAACCCAGAGATGCATTTTAAATAAAAGAACACATTCTACTCACGTAAAATCACACTGATTCCCAGACCGTCCACAGGCTGGATTGAGAAGGCGATTGGGCTGCATCCGGCCCCCGGGCCTTAGGTTGGTGACCCCTGCTTTAAGTGCTCAGGTCAGTGCTCTGGCTGCACCCGGGAATTCCCAGGGAGGAACTCTGGGAGGGGCCTTTAAGCTCCTGATGGTTCCTTAGTAGCTGTGCCCTTAACTGCCTCACACCTGCTGACATGTATTGTGGCCAGCTGTTTGGCAGCAGTGGGTGGTGTGGCTCAAATCAGGACCTGATAGGGCTGGCAGGCTGGCTGTTCCCCACCTCTGTGTTAGACATAAGATTTTTCTACCTTGCATTGCACAGAGCAGTCTTTGCCAACCTGGTGCCCTCCATATCTTTTGGACTAAAATGTAGCATTCCTTCCTTCAGCTCCAGCATCATATGGCTATACTATCCATGTGGGGCTGCCTTTGGAAAGTGCTCAGAAACGTCAGCTGGTTCAAAGACCTGCAGCCAGATTGTGGACTGGGGCTGGTTATAGGGAGCAGACGACTCCCTTGCTAGAACAGCTCCACTGGCTACTGGTCTGTTTCCTGGCACAGTTCCAAGTCCTGGTTATGACCTGTAGATCCCTATATGGCTTAGGCCTAGTCCATCTGAAATACCATATTCCTCCGTATGAACCTGCCTGGGCTCTGAGATCTTTGGGAGAGGGCCTTCTTGGTGGTGGCTGCTCCCATACAATTTTGGAACTCCCTCCCTAGAGAAGTTAGACTGGCTCCTTCCTTGCTGTCCTGCTGGCAAATGAAGACCTTCACGTTCCAACAGGGTTTTGGGAATTGACTGCTTTTAAGGAAATGGTTGGTGCCATTCTGTTTTTGGTTTTTGGTTTTGGTGTAATTGTATGTTTTTAATAGATCTGGGAGAGTGTGTGTGTTTTAATTCTATTAATGTCTAATTGTTAAGGATTGTTCTTTCCCCATGTTTTTAGCAGTTCTAATTCTGTCTGTAATCTGCCTTGAGTTCCTGTCAGGAAGAAAGGTGGGGACAACTAAATATATAACAACAACAACAACGTTATCTGGGGCTAATGAGAGTTGCAGTCAGACTCTAGTCCTCCAGCTGTGCAAGGCCTGCTGGCCTAGAGACTCCTGGCTTGCCTCTTGTTTCTTGTGAGATGAGAGAGAATCAGCTGCTGGGGCAAGGTGCCCCAGCCCAAGCAGGTTTTCTGTCACTAGATTGTAATGTTCCTTTGTTTGAAACCATTGCTTGAGTCAGCAGAAATGTTTGGAAAGCAATTTTGTGTAATTGTGCAAAAGGCTACGTCAGTGTGGTTTGAGTGGAACTTGATTGTGCCTGAGTAAAGTGGGCTTCTCACCCCAAGCAGTGGCGGAGCTTCATGCTCCGGCACCAGGGGGCGGAGAGCAGGCAGGGGCAGGGCTGGCACACCTCCTCCAGGGGCATGGCGCCCAGCACGGGCAGGGTGGGGGGCAGCCACGATGGCACCCCACCGGGATCATGCTGCTGGGGGCGGTGCACTCCCCCTGCACTCCTCTTCCTCCACCAGTGATCCCAAGGCTAATATTGAGTGCTCCTTCTCTCCTACTTGCTCCCAGTTTTAATTGATCATGAAATTATTTTTATCAAGTCAAATTCTGCATGATGGACATGTGTGACAGCCCGTATATCATGCACTTTTGCAGGTAAGGAAAATGTTTACGAAGGTAGAGAATGTATTGTTCTGCTGGTGTTAAGTGTGGACACTTTAAAAAATCGTCTGGTCAAAGTTCAGCAGCAGGTTCCTTGGTAAATGGTTCTAGCCATTTAGCACCAACTGAAAACAGTGTTATATCATGCAAACCTATATCTTTCTGCATTTCCAAATTCCTGTTCAGACCTCAGTTTATCCCAGTGCACTGAGGTAGATAAGGACTTGCATGTGGGATTCCTTTATATGGGATTCCGTTTCCTATTACATTACATTCCTATTACATTGACAACACTCTTCTGTCTTTACTAGGGTTTCTGCTCTTCAAAGAGTTATGCCAAATGAACATGGAGGAAGGGGTTCCTCAGCTGAAGTTCTATGAAGAGGTAAGAGATCTGTCCTCTATGCGATTCAAATCTGGTGAATCGTGTCTGGATCTTTCTTCAACTTGGTAAAGGAATCTCTTCCCCCACCCCACCCCTCTTTTTTTTTTTAAAGAGCTAGGTTCAGGGGAAATTTTTGACACTACATGGATGGTGATAAAACAGCTCTTTTGCAAACTTCCCTTTTTGAGTTCAGAACCATGCCCCTCCCTCTCCATTCTTAAATGCCCAAGAAAGGATCTCCCTCTTTTCCTTGGACTTTTCAGTGTTTCTCTACAACCACAATAAATTCTAGGAAGAAAAGGAATTGAGTTTGTTTTTGGTTCTGGTGTATTTGTTGTGCAATAGGGAATAAATAAGAAAATATGAAAAGATACTCTGTTATAAGAACATACGAAATAGGCTTATATTGGGATCTGGATATTGCCTCCTCTCCTCTTCCCCAACCTGGTGTTCTCCAGATGTTGCTGGACTGCAACTCCCAGCAGCCCCAGCAGCATAGCTAGTGGTGAGGGTTTCTTCCTTCCTTCCAAAGGTAAACAACAGCAGCCTTTTGGGCAAAATGGCAAGCTAATAGAAGTCATAAATAAATATATAAGGTGGTGGTTGCTACCTTCAGTTTTTAAAAAATAAGTATTAGAATCTTTTTTTTAAAAAAAACCTCCTGGCTGATTAATCACATGTCCTTCATGGAATTATGCTACATTTGATCCCTTTCTTATTCTCAATGAGAGCAGAAGAAATCCAGGCACATCAACACATCCTTAAATACAGAAATAGAATCTCACCTGTTGCTGTGCGAGTCACGATTATTTATTTATTTATTTATTCATTCCCTTATTTATTGGGAATGATTCAGCCATAGCTGTCAAATGGGTGTTTATTGTTGTTGTTGTTTAGTCGTTTAGTCGTGTCCGACTCTTCGTGACCCCATGGACCAGAGCACGCCAGGCACTTCTGTCTTCCACTGCCTCCCGCAGTTTGGTCAAGCTCATGCTGGTAGCTTCGAAGACACTATCCAACCATCTCGTCCTCTGTCATCCCCTTCTCCTTGTGCCCTCCATCTTTCCCAACATCAGGGTCTTTTCCAGGGAGTCTTCTCATGAGGTGGCCAAAGTATTGGAGCCTCAGCTTCATGATCTGTCCTTCCAGTGAGCACTCAGGGCTGATTTCCTTAAGAATGGATAGGTTTGATCTTCTTGCAGTCTATGGGACTCTCAAGAGTCTCCTCCAGCACCATAATTCAAAAGCATCAATTCTTCGGCGATCAGCCTCCTTGATGGTCCAGCTCTCACTTCCATACATCACTACTGGGAAAACCATAGCTTTTACTATACGGACCTTTGTTGGCAAGGTGATGTCTCTACTTTTTAAGATGCTGTCTAGGTTTGTCATTGCTTTCCTCCCAAGAAGCAGGCGTCTTTTAATTTCGTGGCTGCTGTCACCATCTGCAGTGATCATGGAGCCCAAGAAAGTGAAATCTTTCACTGCCTCCATTTCTTCCCCTTCTATTTGCCAGGAGGTGATGGGCCCAGTGGCCATGATCTTCGTTTTTTTGATGTTGAGCTTCAGACCATATTTTGCGCTCTCCTCTTTCACCTTCAATAAAAGGTTCTTTAATTCCTCCTCACTTTCTGCCATCAAGGTTGTGTTATCTGCATATCTGAGGTTGTTGATATTTCTTCCAGCAATCTTAATTCCGGCTAGGGATTCATCCAGCCCAGCCTTTCGCATGATGAATTCTGCATATAAGTTAAATAAGCAGGGGGACAATATACAGCCTTGTCATACTCCTTTCCCAATTTTGAAGCAATCAGTTGTTCCATATCCAGTTCTAACTGTAGCTTCTTGTCCCACATAGAGATTTCTCAGGAGACAGATGAGGTGATCAGGCACTCCCATTTCTTTAAGAACTTGCCATAGTTTGCTGTGGTCAACACAGTCAAAGGCTTTTGCATACTCAATGAAGCAGAAGTAGATGTCTTTCTGGAACTCTCTAGCTTTCTCCATAATCCAGCACATGTTTGCAATTTGGTCTCTGGTTCCTCTGCCTCTTTTAAATCCAGCTTGCACTTCTGGGAGTTCTCTGTCCACATACTGCTTGAGCCTTCCTTGTAGAATTTTAAGCATAACCTTGCTAGCGTGTGAAATGAGTGCAATTGTGCGGTAGTTGGAGCATTCTTTAGCACTGCCCTTCTTTGGGATTGGGATGTAGACTGATCCTCTCCAATCCTCTGGCCACTGCTGAGTTTTCCAAACTTGCTGGCATATTGAGTGTAGCACCTTAACAGCATCATCTTTTAAAATTTTAAATAGTTCAGCTGGAATACCATCACTTCCACTGGCCTTGTTATTTGCAGTGCTTTCTAAGGCCCATTTGACTTCACTCTCCAGGATGTCTGGCTCAAGGTCAGCAACCACACTACCTGGGGTGTACAAGACATCCATATCTTTCTGGTATAATTCCTCTGTGTATTCTTGCCACCTCTTCTTGATGTCTTCTGCTTCTGTTAGGTCCTTACCACTTTTGTCCTTTATTATGGTAATCTTTGAATGAAATGTTCCTTTCATATCTCCAATTTTCTTGAACAGATCTCTGGTTCTTCCCATTCTGTTTTCCCCCTCTATTTCTTTGCATTGCTCGTTTAAGAAGGCCTTCTTGTCTCTCCTTGCTATTTTTTGGAAATCTGCATTCAATTTCCTGTATCTTTCTCTATCTCCCTCGCATTTTGCTTGCCTTCTCTCCCCCGCTATTTGTAAGGCCTCGTTGGACAGCCACTTTGCTTTCTTGCATTTCCTTTTCATTGGGATGGTTTTTGTTGCTGCCTCCTGTATAATGTTACGAGCCTCCATCCATAGTTCTTCAGGCACTCTGTCCAGCAAATCTAAATCCTTAAACCTGTTCCTCACTTCCGCTGTGTATTCATAAGGGATTTGATTTAGATTGTATCTTACCGGCCCAGTGGTTTTTCCTACTTTCTTCAGTTTAAACTTGAATTTTGCTATAAGAAGCTGATGATCTGAGCCACAGTCAGCTCCAGGTCTTGTTTTTGCTGACTGTATAGAGCTTCTCCATCTTTGGCTACAGAGAATATAATCAATCTGATTTCGATGCTGCCCATCTGGTGATGTCCATGTGTAGAGTCGTCTCTTGTGTTGTTGGAAAAGCGTGTTTGTGATGACCAGCTTGTTCTCTTGACAGAACTCTATTAGCCTTTGCCCTGCTTCATTTTGCTCTCCAAGTCCAAACTTGCCAGTTGTTCTTTTTATCTCTTGATTCCCTACTTTAGCATTCCAATCCCCTATAATGAGAAGAACATCCTTCTTTGGTGTCACTTCTATAAGGTGTTGTAAGTCTTCATAGAATTGGTCAATTTCAGTTTCTTCAGCACCAGTAGTTGGTGCATAAACTTGGATTACTGTTATGTTAAAAAGTCTGCCTTGGATTCGTATCGAGATCATTCTATCATTTTTGAGATTGCAGTGTGGTGTAGTGGTTAAGAGCGGTGGACTCGTAATCTGGTGAACCGGGTTTGCGTCCCCGCTCCTCCACATGCAGCTGCTGGGTGACCTTGGGCCAGTCACACTTCTCTGAAGTCTCTCAGCCTCACTCACCTCACAGAGTGTTTGTTGTGGGGGAGGAAGGGAAAGGAGATTGTTAGCTGCTTTGAGACTCCTTAGGGTAGTGATAAAGCGGGATACCAAATCCAAACTCTTCTTCTTCTTCATCCCAGTACAGCTTTCGCCACTCTTTTGTTGACTATGAGGGCCACTCCATTTCTTTTGCGGGTTTCTTGCCCACAGTAGTAGATATGATGGTCATCCGAACTGAATTTACCCATTCCCGTCCATTTTAGTTCACTGATGCCCAGGATGTCAATATTTATTCTTGCCATCTCATTTTTGACCACATCCAACTTACCCAGGTTCATGGATCTTACATTCCAGGTTCCTATGCAATATTTTTCTTTACAGCATTGGACTTTCCTTTCGCTTCCAGGCATATCCGCAACTGAGCGTCCTTTCGGCTTTAGCTCAGCCGCTTCATCAGCTCTGGATCTACTTGTACTTGTCCTCCGCTCTTCCCCAGTAGCATGTTGGACGCCTTCCGACCTGAGGGGCTCATCTTCCAGCGTCATAACTTTTATATGCCTGTTGTCTTTGTCCATGGAGTTTTCTTGGCAGGGATACTGGAGTGGCTTGCCGGTTCCTCCTCCAGGTGGATCACGTTTGGTCAAAACTCTCCACTATGACCTGTTCATCTTGGGTGCCCTGCTCGGCATAGTTCATAGCTTCTCTGAGTTATTCAAGCCCCTTCGCCACGGCAAGGCAGTGATCCATGAAGCGGGGTGTTTATTAGAGGGGGGTAATGTATGTAGAGCAACCTTTGCCAACGTAGTCCCTTCCAGATGATGTGGACTACAACTCCTATCAGCCAGCGCTGTCATGCTTGACTGGAGCTGATGGGGGTTGCGTAGTCCAAAACATCTGGAGGGTGTCCTGTTGGTGAGGGCTGATTCAAGCTGACAGTCTTCACGCTGGGAAGTCAGCTGATTCTGTCCCGGCTGGAACTGCAGGCCAGAGTGTTTCTTCCTCCCCTTTCTTCCACGGTAGGGCTGTAGCCCAGGGGACAGAGCTGCCGCCTTGTTGCAGGTTCAGTCCCTGGCAGCATCTCCGGGTACGACTGGGAAAGTCCCCTGCCATTGCTGCCAGTCAGTAGACAGCATTGAGCAAGATGGATTGACCAAGGGTCTGACTCAGTACATGACAGCTTTTAGAGACATTGCAGCAAAGGAGATGAACAGAGCTGTTGAGAGTGGCTGCTGAAAGTCCTGGTTTGGGACCCCTCACCCAGTGACTTACATTTATTTATTTCATAAAATTTGTATGTCGTTTAATTAGATTACTGCAATGCGTTATACATAGGGCTGCCTCGGAAACTTCAGCAGGTGCAGAATTCAGCAGCCAGGTTGCTCACCAGAGCAAGACAGTTTGAGCATATTACACCAATCCTGGTCTGACTGCACTGGCTACCAGTTAGTTTCTGGGCTCAATTCAAAGTGCTGATTTTAACCTATAAAGCCTTAAATGACTCAGTACCGCAATACCTCAAGGACTGCCTCTTCCCATATGAACCTACTCGAACCCTGAGATCAGCTTCTGAGGCCCTCCTTTGTGTGCCCCCTCCTCAAGAGGTCCAGAGGGCGGCAACACGAGAAGGGACCTTCTCTGCAGTGGCTCCCTGTCTGTGGAAGGCTCTCCCCAGGGAAGTTCGCCCAGCGCCTTCATTATACACCTTTAGGCACCAGGCAGAAACATTCCTTTTTAACTAGGCCTTTGGTTGATCTGATTTACATCCTATGCCCTTTTAAAATGTGTTTTTTTTGGGGGGGGAGATTGGGTTTTTTATTTTTATTATGTATTTTGTGGTTTTATATCTTGATTTTATTCTGTGCACTGAGAGCCCCAGGTAAAGGGTGGAATAATTAATAATAATAATAATAATAATAAATAATAATACATTTACTAACTCTCAAAGCAGGTTACAAAAGAATAACAATAAATTATTATAAAAGAACAGATTTAAAAAAAATAAAAATTAAATTAGAAGAACTTCCTGACAGTAGAGCTTCGACAGTGAATTTGCTGCCAGGAGTGGTGGTGAGTCTACTCTTTGGAGGTCTTTAAGCAGAGGCTTGACAACCATAGTTGGAGTGCTCTGATGGTGTTTCCTGCTTGGCAGGGGGTTGGACCGAATGCCCTTGTGGTCTCTTCCAACTCATGATTCTATGACCTTCCTATGATTCTAATGAAAACCAGCAATAAACTAAAAACATACCTGCACCCTCTATATCTGGGACAGGCTTGTGTAAACAAACATTTTTTATTGTTGTTGTTGTTTAGTCGTTTAGTCCGTGTCCGACTCTTCGTGACCCCATGGACCAGAGCATGCCAGGCACTCCTGTCTTCCACTGCTTCCTGCAGTTTGGTCAAACTCATACTGGTAGCTTCGAGAAAACTGTCCCATCATCTCGTCCTCTGTCGTCCCCTTCTCCTTGCACCCTCCATCTTTCCCAACATCAGGGTCTTTTCCAGGGAGTCTTCTCACGAGGTGGCCAAAGTATTGGAGCCTCAGCTTCAGGATCTGTTCTTCCAGTGAGCACTGAAGGATGATTTCCTTAAGAATGGAGAGGTTTGATCTTCTTGCAGTCCATGGGACTCTCAAGAGTCTGACGATCAGCCTTCTTTATGGTCCAGCTTTCACTTTCATACTGGGAAAACCATAGCTTTTACTATACGGAACTTTGTTGGCAAGGTGATGTCTCAGAGTGATAGGTTTATTTCATCTTGCTCAATATGGAAATGCGACAGGCTTACACAGCCCTGTGGGAGGCTAACCAAGGAGCAGTGTATCATGCAGAGATCCATCAAAAGCCCTCCTCTGGAGGCAGGCCCCCGGTTCATCTGGGAGCCTGGCATGATTGAATGCCCTGCTCTGTGTAGAGATGCAACAGAACTGCCGGCCTTCAGGTGGAGTGGGAGGAGATGGGGCCAAGCACTGCCCACACAAGGGACGCAGCAGACTGCCCTCCTTTTTTGAAGGAGCGTTGGGGGCTCACAGAAACCGTTCATTTAATTTCTGGTGGCACACAGATTGGGAATTGCCTTCATGCCCTCTTGGTAGGCTTCCCAGAGGCAGTGGCTGCTGGAGACAGGATGCTGGGCTGGGTGGACCCATGGCTCCTCTGAGGCTCTTGGCCCTTATGCTGAGGATCACACCAAGGGGCTCTGGTGCCAACACATCCTGAATATGGGGCAACCACAATCAACCAGCATCTACACGCAACCCAGAGCTGCCTGTTAATGAGGCTTAAGCAGCTGTTCCATTCCCCCCCGCAAATCCTTTCCTGGTGCCAATGCCGCTGCAGGCCTGATGTAAATGCAGAAGTCTCTTTTCCATGGAAACTGATTAGGGGAATTAACGGATGGAGCTGAGTCAGTTAGGGTAAGAGGCTTGATTGCAGCTTGTGAACCCCTGGCCTGCTTTCCAGCACCAGGAAGGCTGCTCTGGCCTTTCCCAAAATAGCCCAGGGTCTGAGAGGTAGGGAAGGAAGAGAGCGCCTGGTGCTGGCCGTAGCAGCCCTGCTTGGACTGTGTACTGGTCACCTTGGGAGAGAAATCTTAGGAGAGCTCCCCTTTTCTGGAAGAGCATTGTAAAAAGGGGAGAGTGGCATGCATTTGGCAACGTAGCTAGAATGTGGCACTAATCTGCTTTGAAAGACAAGGTTTCTCAAGCTGTGATACCTGCATTGGGCTAGATGACCCTTTGGGTTCATTCCAACTATGATTTTACGATCAAGCTCTTTGCCACTCTATCAGCCGCACAAAGAATGGCTTTCGCTGCCTCCAGATGTAGGCAAAGTGGCCTGGAGTGTTGAACTTAGGACATTGCCTTACACTGAGTTGTTCCATCTCTACACTGACCGGCAGCAGCTCTCCAGCATTGCAGGCAGGAGTCTCTCCCAGCCCTACCATTGGATCCTGGTACCTCCTGCATGCAAGGCAGATGCTCTGCCACTGAGCTCAACCTTGCTGTTGTTGGGTTTTGGGCAGTTTCTCCAGTTATTCAGTCGTCTAGCAGTGGGAAAGCCAAGAGAAGAGCCATCAAAGGAGGAATCGAGGAGCTCAAAGGCTCAGTGTGCTGAATCACCACATTTGTGTCTTGCAGATTAAAGAATATGAAAAACTGGACTCGGAGGAGGATCGTCTCAGCAGGAGCCGGCAGATCTACGACACCTATATAATGAAAGAGCTGCTCTCCTGCTCACACGTACGTAAGCACATCCTCCCGGGATTAGTTAAAAGCCAGGACTTAAAACCAGACAGAGATGTCTTAACGTGGAGGCCTAGCCAGGGACTGGAATGCAGCACTTCTTTAAACACAGTGAGGGACAGGGACCCTTTAAAAGCCACTTAAAGCAGTGCTTTTATTAAAAGGATTGGAAGCCATTGGATTTGTTACTGTGGTCCTCTTAACACTTACACAGAAGTCGTGGCTTCCTCTGCTTCAGCTGTAATGCCTCTTTTGAGTGCTATAGACCAATTTTCTTCTTCTGCCCATGAAAATATTTAGCATAAGCTGGTGAGGACAGCAAACAGTTGTTTATCTATTTATCTATATGAGAAACGGTAGTATATATGTATTTTAATTAATAAATGAAAGCACTTTACTGGCTCCCCCCCCCCCGCCTCAAACCATCTTTAAAGGTAAAGGTAAAGGTACCCCTGCCCGTACGGGCCAGTCTTGCCAGACTCTAGGGTTGTGCGCTCATCTCACTCTATAGGCCGGGAGCCAGCGCTGTCCGCAGACATTTCCGGGTCACGTGGCCAGCGTGACAAGCTGCATCTGGCGAGCCAGCGCAGCACACGGAACGCCGTTTACCTTCCCGCTAGTAAGCAGTCCCTATTTATCTACTTGCACCCGGAGGTGCTTTCGAACTGCTAGGTTGGCAGGCGCTGGGACCGAACGACGGGAGCGCACCCCGCAGCGGGGATTCGAACCGCCGACCATGTGATCGCCAAGTCCTAGGCGCTGAGGTTTTACCCACAGCGCCACCCTCAAACCATCTTTAGCCCATTAAAAATAATTATCCCTCCCTTCTTTGTATTTCTTACTGGATTGTTATTTTAACTTCATAATAAAGTATTGGGGGGAAATTTAATTAAAAAAATCCTTTCCCCCCTCCCACAGCCTTTTTCGAAGCCAACAGTTGATCACGTGCAAACTCATCTTGCCAAGAAGCAGGTCCCACCAACCCTTTTTCAGGTGATTCTGGAATCCTTGTTGTTGTTGTTGTTATTGTTATTTCCTTTTATATACTGCTTACTACCTGAAAGATCTTGAAGCAGTTTACAATGGGCAGATATGTGTCTTCGCTGTGTCTCAATTCTCCAAAGGAACACAGATCCTGGGTGAGTGCCTGGAATCTTGCTACCGCTTGGCAGAGAGCAGGAGTGGCACCCAATGTTTGTAACACTGATGTCAAAAGTGGGATCTGTGTTTCCTGGAGAGAAGGCCTAGGAGCAACATGCGCCTGAAGTCAAAATGGAGGGAGGAATAGCAGTAACTCCTTGAGCAAAATGAAGCTGATGGAGGAGTGCCAAAGCCAGCAGTTTGCTGAAGGGAGGGCCTCTCCACAAGATATAAAACACCTGATAGACCCAGGGGGGGAGGAGAGGGGGGCGGGGGGTGGGTCACCCCAGGTGCCATCACCCCAGGTGACAAATTATCAAGGAACAATTACTGCCCTACTAGGGTGGTTCATAATTATTCTTTTTTTAAATACCTGCTCCAAAGGCATCTTATTACACTAGGGATTATATAGCTAAATATGAAATTTCATGCATATCAGTTAATATCTTGACCCTCCTCCATGAAAATAGCTGTTTACTTGGCTGTTTTCCTATGTCGTGAAGGCTGAAATTTCAACAAAGCACATGCCTTTGCTAGACTCTTTTCAGGCACCTGCTAAAGGCATTCTTTTTTAGGCAAGCATACCTAGATGCTTAGGAAGTTGAAGTAATTTTAATCTTAATATTTTAGCTTTTTATGTTTTAAAGTAGGATTGTTAATTTTTCTTGATTTTACTGCTGTGATTTTTTTGTTTTTTGTTTTGGTAAACCACTTTGCAGGTTTTTTAAAAATAAATTTTATTAAATAAATAAACAATAAATATAAATAAAATAACACAAGCCAAAACACAATCCATCCTGTAGATTTAAGTATCTGTCCATAGTCGCCTACTTCTTATCAGAGGCTCAGAATCCACATTCCTTTCTAAGAAAATATGAAATAACGTAAAACCATTTTTGCAGGCAAAAAAACCAAACAACAATTTGGGGAGGGGGTGACAATAAATTTTCCGCACTGGGTACCACCTGACCTTCCTACGCCTCTGGATAGACCAACAGCTGCAGGTGCTGAGGGCTGATGTGGAAGCCCAGTTACGAGGTGCTGATCAGAGGATAGAGGGTAGTGGAAGAAAAAGGTACTGCATTGGCTGGAGCTGAGGAGAGGCTGCTGAACTCCTCCCAGGTTGCCAAAAGAAATTGCCCTGAAGGAAGGCTGGCTGGCAGAGCTGCTTCTAGTTGACCCTGGAAACCTGCTGAGAATGAGGAAGAAAGGAAATTTGTGTTTGATTCTTGGTTTTTTATACTGCCAAATGAATCTTGATAAATCTTTTTGCCATAGTTTAAAACAACCTATCCCTCCAATTACTGGCATCATTTGAAATAAGAACATCATTTTGGGAAGCATGTTCATTTTTACTACTGATACCACTGAATGATAATTTTAACCTATTCCAAATATCCAGATCCTTTTTAATTTCTTTCCAAATTTCCAAATTATTATCATTAAATAGATTAGTATTTTTGTTTGTCAACCAAATTCCCAGATTGTTGTTGTTGTTTAGTCGTTTAGTCGTGTCCGACTCTTCGTGACCCCATGGACCAGAGCACGCCAGGCACCTCTGTCCTCCACTACTTCCCGCAGTTTGGTCAGACTCATGCTGGTAACCTCGAAAACACTATCCAACCATCTCGTCCTCTGTCGCCCCCTTCTTCTTGTGCCCTCCATCTTTCCCAGCATCAGTGTCTTCTCCAGGGAGTCTTCTCTTCTCATGAGGTGGCCAAAGTACTGGAGCCTCAGCTTCACGATCTGTCCTTCCAGTGAGCACTCAGGGCTGATTTCCTTAAGAATGGATGCGTTTGATCTTCTTGCAGTCCATGGGACTCTCAAGAGTCTTCTCCAGCACCATAATTCAAAAGCATCAATTCTTCGGCGATCAGCCTTCTTGATGGTCCAGCTCTCACTTCCATACATCACTACTGGGAAAACCATGGCTTTAACTATACGGACCTTTGTTGGCAAGGTGACGTCTCTACTTCTCAAGATGCTGTCTAGGCCTGTCATTGCCCTTCTCCCAAGAAGGAGGCGTCTTTTAATTTCGTGGCTGCTGTCACCATCTGCAGTGATCATGGAGCCCAAGAAAGTAAAATCTCTCACTGCCTCCATTTCTTCCCCTTCTATTTGCCAGGAGGTGATGGGACCAGTGGCCATGATCTTCGTTTTTTTGATGTTGAGCTTCAGACCATATTTTGCGCTCTCCTCTTTCACCCTCATTAAAAGGTTCTTTAATTCCTCCTCACTTTCTGCCATCAAGGTTGTGTCATCTGCATATCTGAGGTTGTTGATATTTCTTCCGGCAATCTTAATTCCAGCTTGAGATTCATCCAGCCCAACCTTTCGCATGATGTATTCTGCATATAAATTAAATAAGCAGGGAGACAAAATACAGCCTTGTCGTACTCCTTTCCCAATTTTGAACCAATCAGTTGTTCCATATCCAGTTCTAACTGTAGCTTCTTGTCCCACATAGAGATTTCTCAGGAGACAGATGAGGTGATCAGGCACTCCCATTTCTTTAAGAACTTGCCATAGTTTGCTGTGGTCGACACAGTCAAAGGCTTTTGCATAGTCAATGCATAGTCAATGCATAGTCAATTCCCAGATATTTAGCCTTATTTACGATCTTTAGTCCTGAAATTGTTTGTAATTCTTCTTTTTCTTGTATAGACATATTCTTTGCTAACTACTTCTTCTTTGGTGATCACTCGTAGCCGAGTAAGATTGTCTTCCATAAACACGGTTTTAACAATGAGTCTGTAGATGACTGTGGAGGCCAATTCTGGATCCACATGTGATTCCACAGTGGGGAGATTGGTTTCCGGGCAGGAGTTGATCACGGTGCGGATTTGCCAAGCATGCCTTCCTCTTAGCACGTTTCTCTCTTGCATCCTGAGTTTGAGTGTCTTCAAAGCCCAAGACCACTTTGGTAAAGGCTGTTCTCCAACTGGAGCGCTCGTAGGCCAGTGTTTCCCAGTTGTCAGTGTTTATACAGCATTTTTTTAGATTTGCCTTGAGACAGTCTTTAAACCTCTTTTGTTGACCACCAGCATTGCGCTTTCCATTTTTAAGTTCGGAATAAAGTAGTTGCTTTGGAAGATGATCATCAGGCATCCGCACAACATGACCAGTCCAACGAAGCTGATGTTGAAGAATCATTGCTTCAACACTGGTGATCTTTGCTTCTTTCAGTACACTGATATTAGTTCGCCTTTCCAAATTCGAGGATTCTTTCTATTATTTTTGGTACACTTTCCTCCGGGTTTTCGGTAGTTAGTATCAGGTCATCCGCAGAAGTCTTTATCTTATGTGATCCTCCCCCCCCCCCGTTATACTTTTACATCTTGGTCTTTTCTTATAGCGATCGCTAGCAATTCTAGCACCATGATGAACAATAAGGGTGAAGGGGGCATCCTTCTCTGCTCCCCTTACTTATCTTAAATTCCTCTGTTATTTTGTTGTTCAATATCAGCTTTGCTCTCTGATCTCTATATATTGCCTAAATGCCCCTGTTGTAATTTCCCCCGAATCCCATAGCTTCTATTCTCCCCCCCCCAATAAAAATCCAGGCGATGTTGTCAAAAGCCTTTTCGGCATCTACCAGCATCAGAATTGCTTTTTGGTCAGTTCTGGCTTCCAAATATTCTAAAATATCTATTATATTTCTCATATTGTACATATGCCTGCCTGGTAGAAAGCCAGCTTCATCCTTGTGTATAATTTCATTAAGTACTCTTTGTAATCTATTACCCAGTATGTCAGTAAATATTTTGTAATCGTTATTTAATAATGATATAGGTTATAATTTTTGGTTGACGTTGGAACCGTTCCTTGTTTGGGTATCAAAGTGATGAAGGCTTCTTCCCATGATTTTGATATTTCCCCTTTTAAAAAAATTCCATTCATGACTGCTTTCATTGGTTCTGACAGTATATCTTCTAATTTCTTATAATATGCTGCAGATAAACTGTCTGTGCCTGGAGATTTCCCTGTCTTTGCTTTTGAAATTGATTGTTGCACCTCTATCATAGTTATTGGCAGATTTAATTGGTTGATTTTGTTCACTTGTTATAATTCTGTGCTAAATATTTTTTCATCTCTTCTCTTCTGCTTGATATAACTTCCAATAATATTTCTTTGGGTTCTTCTGTTATCTTCCCTTCTTGTATTAATTTCTCTATTATTCTCTCTTTTTGTTTTTTCTTTATTTGCCATGCAAGCAGTCTACCTGGCTTGTTAGCAAATTAACAAAAAAAGTCTGAATATTTTTATCATTTGTTCTATTTCATAATTCAAAATCTTGGAGAGCTGCATCTGTAATATCTTAATATTTTGTTTTGCTATTTCCTTCTTTGGATTTTTAACCAATTCATTTTCATTTTCTCTTACCTCCTTCAAGAGTTTCTCCATTTTCTGTTATCTCTCTCTTTGGATTATATTTTGTTGGATGAAGAAGCCTTGAATTACTGCCTCGCTTGCATCCCATCCCATATTTATATCAGTTCCCTGATTTAGATTGTTCTCAAAATATTCTTTTAGGGTCACCCTTGCCTTTCCCACTATTTTCTCATCATTTAGTAAATGTTCATTGATTCTCCGTCTTCTTATTTTTCTTCCTTCTTTTATTTTAACGTAATTGGATTATGATCTGATATTGTTTTTGAATGAATTTCCACTTTCCTAATCTTTAATAATAGATCTTTTGATACCCAAATGGCATCGATTCTCCTCAATAATTATTTTTTATTATTTTTTACAATAGAGAGGGGCAGCGAAGTCTTTATGCATCAACTACGCGATGCTAAAATTAACAGGGCAATCCGCAATGCTATTTGGTGTATTGGTGGTCACTCCATCAAACACATGGACATTAAGGCTGACAGTCCAGATTTGTTCCTTCCTGATGGCATGCATTTGACCTCGACAGGGAACAACCTGTTGTTGTGGGACGTGAGGCAGGGTCTTGAAGGCTGGATTGCGGACATTTGTTAGGTTTTTTCAGCTGTAGGGATCTTGGTGGCGAGACCGCAATTTCACGATTTTAGGCCTTGGGTAGAATCCTTTAGTCCATTAACAGAATGGGAGGGTAGCGTAACACACCCCTCATGCAATGGTGTTAACAGGGCCTCTTTAGAGGGGTTTGTAAGGTGAGTCACTGACCATCAGCGCTTGGTGTATGATCAAACTCCCAGAACAGAAAGGGGGACAAGCTGTGTAAACGCACATTTTGCAGTGTCCCCCTAAATTCCTGTCTGTCCCTGCTTTGCCTCAGACCCCAACTGGGGGCTGAGAGGGATACATGCCCAATGCCTAAGCCAAGGTTTTCCTACATCTGAAATTAATAAAGTTGTGGCCTATTTTAATCCCATACCTATGCTGTACTGTGTCTTATTTATCTGGGCCTGGCACCTGGGGAGGAGGGTGTGCACACAAAAACTTATCACTGCCTCAAATACAATAAATGTTTGTTTCCCCCTCTAGCCCTACATAGAAGAAATTTGTGACAGCCTCAGAGGAAAAACCTTCCAAATGTTTCTAGAAAGGTATGAATCTGATTGCATGTTTGTCACATGGCCAGTTGCTGAAGGATTGGCATTGGGATGGCTAGTAGGAAGGAGCAGACACAAGCCATTTTGCAAACTGCATCCAGGTGCATTGAATGTGCTAGAATGGTAATGAGTCTGTGCCTTTAAGAGTCTGTGCCTTGTACATGGACCTGCCCACTCTTCTAGTCTAAGCAGAAGGCAGCTATCTTCCTTCCATCCAGCTTCAAAGTCTACTCTCCTATGTTTCCTCATCATGGAAGGTGTTCTTCACTCTGCTGTGCTTGGCAATTAGATACGCTTTGCAGGAGCTGAGCTGGATTTTCACTCAGCAAGCATTTTATAATGTGGCTCAGCTCTTCTGCAAGATTTACAGCTGATTTTATCTACTTGGTTAATTAAGTTGCTTTATTTTCATTTTCTATTTTTATTAGTAAATAAAAAGAGCTGCAAATCTTGCAGAAGAGCTGAGCCGCATTACGAAATGCTTTGCAGTGCAGCAAACCCAGCTCAGCTCCTGTAAAACAACTGCCATAAGAAGTAGTATGAAAATGTTCTCATTGGAGTTTTACTGTTTTTAATAAACAGGAAAGCAGCAGGGACATGCCTAGTTAGGGAAAGCTTTGGTGAGCAAATGGCTTGGCAGAGCTATCTAAGAAAGAGTTCCAACAGGCAGGTGCTGCTGCTGAACAGCACACCACATGCCTGGTTCTGGTTGCCAGCTGAGACAATTTTGTTGAACCTGAGCTATGTTGATAGATTCCAGTGATGGCCAAACTTGGCCCTCCAGCTGTTTTGGGACTACAACTCCCATCATCCCTAGCTAACAGGACCAGTGGTCAGGGATAATGGGAATTGTAGTCCCAAAACAGCTGGAGGGCCAAGTTTGGCCATCACTGGATTAGACCTAAGGTCTTGCAAAATGAGCTTCTGAGTACTGGCCCTCGGTGTGCTGGAAGGTAGATGCTAAAAGATCCTTTCCTATGTTCTTAATTCTGTTTGCTTTCACAAAAGGACTTGCACCTCAGAGATTTTACTCCCAAATGTAGCAGATGAAATCACTAAATTATATATGAGAACAAAGATCATTATACAATGTGATCTTTCAGGGGTCTACTTTGGAAATAAACAGTCGTTTAACTTTTAGAAAAAAACAAAATTCCCTGGCAGCATATGATAATGACACCTATGTGATTCTTTAATTATTTTATAGAGCTCTAAAATGCAGAGATTAATTACTTTTCCCAGGATATGATTGGAGATTTTTTAAATTAAAAAAATTACGATTGAGTCTTACAGAAATAAGAAATATGGAGGCATTTTTACTGGAATGCTGTCAGAAGCATCGTAAACCATGTATTGCTATAGAACTGTCTTTAATTAACATCTGCTCACTGAAGGTTTGCTCTTCAACAGAGCTTTAAAAATTTTAAATATAGTTTTTACTTTTCATAAATCATCACGTGCACAGTTTTCATCACCGTAATGCACATTCTTTTTTCTTTCTTTTCTTCTCTTTTGCAGTGATAAGTTTACTAGATTTTGTCAGTGGAAAAATGTAGAGCTAAACATTCATGTAAGTAATTGCAGGTGTGTGTGTGTGTGTGCATTTTCTAAAAATAGGGGCAGGGATGAGGTGGATCTGGACCACTGCCTAGTTTCTGGGGGACCTCCAAGCAATTGGTGAAATTCTTTCAGAGAACACTGGGCTTATATGTATTTTGATATGAGCAAGACAAAGGCACTTGTCTTGAGCAGGAACACATTTTTGTTTTATGTTTACAGTATGTTAATAGATAACAGCCCCGTGATGAAACACATACACCTATAGTGACTGAGTGGGGGATATAGAAAATTGAGTAGAGGAAGGCATTGCAATGTCAACTTTTTTCTCAAAAGGAAGGAAGCCTAATTTATTTCAAGAGACTTACTTTTGAGTGTCCCCATGAATAAGCAGACTGTCTTTCTCCACCCAGCTTCAGGCCAGCAGCAACAACAATCTTCCCCTGTCCCCGCCCCGCCCCCCACCTCTGGGAAGCCCCCCTCCCAAATCCCAGATAGGGATGGTCAGCATTCACTCTGCTGTTTACTTAACAACACTGAGATTGGGTGTTCTTAGCAAAAGCAGCTTTTCTGTTTTTGCTTTTAGAACATTGCCTTCACAGTTTGCTTTCTAACTTTGATTGATTGAATTTATGTTCCACCCTTCATCCCAAAAAGGCCACCTGTATTTCTTTATAGATGAGTCTGGGGGTCCTGCTGGCGCAAGGCCCAGTACAAAGGTTGGCATTCTGGGTTCTGCATGATGTGGTTTCTCCATGGTGAAGAAAGGCACTTGGCACATGCTCAGAGGCAGCCTGTTGCTTCAAGTGCGCAATGAAAGCATTCTGAGATTTTGAGACTATCCTTGACAGTTTGATTTAAGCTCTGCTTAAATAATAGACAAGACAAATAATAGACAAGATGGACTGTTTCAAGAGGTGGCAGAAAGACATATCGAAATTTGTTTGGCAGGGCAAAAAGCCAAGAATAAAATTTAAGACATTAACAGACGCAAAAGATAGAGGAGGTTTTGCCCTGCCGGACTTAAGACTTTACTATGAATCAGCAGCGTTTTGCTGGCTGAAAGACTGGCTGCTCCTCGAGAATACAGATATTTTGGATCTTGAAGGGTTTGATAACAGATTTGGTTGGCATGCATATATATGGTATGACAAGGTAAAAGTACATAAAGGCTTTAAGAACCATATGGTGAGGAAAGCTCTGTATAATGTTTGGATAAGGTATAAAGATTTGTTTGAAAGTAAAACCCCTAGGTGGCTGTCACCAATGGAGGCAAATGAGGTGAAAAAACTGAATATGGGTTCTAATTGGCCTAAATATTTTGAAATGATAGAACAAGATGGTGAAAAAGTAAAATTGCAGAGTTTCGAGAATCTGAAGTTTAAGGTGAGAGATTGGCTACATTATCGACAGATAAATGAAGTATTTAAACAGGACAGAAAGAAAGGCTTCCAAGTGGAGAAGTCAAAATTAGAAACAGAACTGTTAGAACCCAATACTAAAAACTTGTCAAGAATGTACAACTTGCTGCTGAAATGGAATACTCAAGATGAAATGGTGAAATCTAGCATGATTAAATGGGCACAGGATATAGGGCATGATATTGAGCTTGCTGACTGGGAGCAGTTATGGACCACTGGTGTTAAATTTACGGCATGTAATGCCTTAAGAGAAAACATTATGAAAATGATCTACAGGTGGTACATGACTCCGGCTAAGTTAGCAAAGATTTATCATCTGCCCAATAACAAGTGTTGGAAGTGCAATGAAACGGAGGGAACCTTCTACCACCTTTGGTGGACCTGCCCGAAGATTAAGGCTTTCTGGGAAATGATCTATAATGAAATTAAAAAAGTTCTGAAGAGAACCTTTAATAAAAAGCCAGAAGCCTTTCTCTTGGGTATGGTAGGCCAAATGGTGCCAAAGAAGGATAGGACATTTTTTATGTATGCTACAACAGCAGCAAGAATCCTTCTAGCAAAGTATTGGAAGACACAAGATCTACCCACGTTGGAAGAATGGCAGACGAAGGTGATCGATTATATGGGACTGGCAGAGATGACTGGCAGAATCCGAGACCGGGGGAAAGAGGCGGTGGATGAAGACTGGAACAAATTTAAAATTTATCTTAAAACTGTTGTAATTTGGAAAATTAGAAGACCAGGGTAATAAGAGATAAAGAACTACAGTTGTTTTATTATTTTATGGAAGATATATTTATGAAATAGGAATAAGTTTAATATGAAAGGGTTGCTGGAGAATCTTGAAATATGAATGCAGAAAAGGGGTGGTATGGGGAAGTCGTTATTGGTGTTTGCATATGTTTTCTACTATGTTTTCTTTTTATTTATGGAAAACTAATAAAAACTTATTTAAAAAAAAAAAAAAGATTTAAGCTCTGCTTTGGACTTATTTCATAGAATCAGAATCGTAGAGTTGGAAGGGACCCTGAGGATCATCCAGTCCAACCCCCTTCAATGCAGGAATATGCAGCTATCCCACACGAGGATCAAACCTTAGTGCTATTAGCACCAAGCTCTAATTAGCTGACTTTGTCTCAAGGTTTCATTTGGAGCACTTATTCTGCAGGCCCCTAGTTTAAATGAACATTCCTCAGTAGTGCCCTCACATTTGCCCTGAAACCTACAAAATCTCTTCTGCCTTCAATTCCTTATAATTTGGGCATTGTCTCCTTTCATGTGTCCCCTATTGATTCCCTGATTTCCAGAGTGCACCACTGCTTTGCAAGGAATAGGATTCCATTTCATCCTTAAATTGCACCAAATCCCTGAAAAGCAAAAGGTGGCAGCCAGTTCGTTGTGACACATTAGCCTGAGTTGTTTTTGGAGGCAGGTGGGTGCTTGCAAGGAGGCATGTGTGCTGGTCAGCACAAGCAAATGTTCATTTCCACCTCTTCCATCCCCAGCTGACCATGAATGACTTCAGTGTCCACCGGATCATCGGGCGAGGGGGCTTCGGAGAAGTTTATGGCTGCCGGAAAGCAGACACAGGGAAGATGTAAGTAGCTTTGTTTGTATTTGTAATGCATCCATATAAAATCCCCAAGTAACAGAACAACCAACGTGAGGGGCATTGCAGTGCTGTGTGTTTAATTGCTGTGGTTCTCCACTTTGGCTGGGAAGTGGGATGCCCTTTCCACCTGAAAAAGCCAGCAGCAAGGTGTGTCTGAGGAGAGGGGAGTGATGACCCATTGAAGCTTCATTGGCTCCCAGTGGGCTTATCACATTTTAACTGAGGTACAGTTAACATGCTTTTATCCACTGCTTTATTCATCTAAAGAATTTCCTTCTAAATTGTGCCAGTGAATGCTGTTTTCACCCTTAACCCAGGGTATGGGTGCAGCATATCTATATGTGAATGTCCAGTTTTGTCTGAGCAGGTACCCCCACCCCAAACTGTCCTTGCTGCTTAGGCAGTCTGGATTTTGCTATGGGCTCTGGTCCCTTTCCAAAGGGGCTGGATCACCTCTTGCAAAATGCATTTCCGTTTTCCAGACTGTTGTTGGGCGATAACAATGGCCTCTTGAGAAAGCATCCCTTAGGTGATGAGAATTACACCAGATTGGGGAAGGCTACTGTAGAGTGACTTATAAACCAAAACTCACAAGCAATAGAGATGGGATAATTGAACCAGAGGAATTGTAACTCAGTGGAGCAGCATCTCTTCTTGAGGGACCAGAAAGGTGCACCTTGCCTATGGCAGCATTCCCTGAACCTCTCCTGAACTCCCAGTTTACCTACTTTTCTGCCTTCAAACTACCAGTTGAAAGTGATGAAAATTGAATGCTCTGTTAAAGCCCCTTTCTCAACAAGTTACAATTTTCAGGTATGCAATGAAATGCTTGGATAAGAAGAGGATCAAGATGAAGCAAGGGGAGACTTTAGCCTTGAATGAAAGGATCATGCTGTCGCTCGTCAGTACAGGCGTAAGTATGTTCTGACTCTTTGCTCATTCTCATAATAATAATAATAATAATAATAATAATAATAATAATATTGGGAAATTCCACCACAGGGCAGACTGGGTGTTGCATGCTTTTAATTTTTACATTTGTATTTGTTGCTTTAACAGTGGCATTTTGGTTTTACTGTAACTCACTCTAGGATCACTACCCAATGAAGTTTAGGATATAAATTCAACCAGTGGATTCCCAGAGGTATTCTGCAGCCATATAAACAAATGCTCCCTTGTGTTGTGAGTTGTCACTGCCAAAATAGGGGTCAACCTTCAGCTGAAAGATACCAGCAGGTGCTTTCCAGAGGCCCTTGAAATTGGGTTGGTGACTAAATGGATGAACAGAACAAGACATGAAAGTATGAGGAAGTCCTTGTCATGTTAAGCCAAAGTCAGTCTGGCTACAATAGTCTGTTGTGTGGCCACATTTGAATCGTGGTGTACAGCAGTCTTCCCCAACCTGAAGCCCCAGATACTAGTGGGCTCCAACTCTCAATGCCAGGGCCGGCCTGCCCATGCGGTGGGCCAAAGCAGCTGCCTTGGGTGGCAGAACATCAGGAGTGGCACCTTCCACTGAGAGCTGTGTGAGCACTCATTTGCCCCATGAGATCTCACCAGAATTAGCCATCATTGCTTTGCAGTCACTGCCACATCACCCAGGTAAAGGAGGGATTGGCAGGGCAGCCCCTTCCCATTTTGCCTCAGGCGGTGAAACAGGATGCGCTCTCCTGCCCACTGCCCTTGACCTCTGGCTTTTGGGACTGATGGGAATTGGAGTTCAACAGCATCTGGAGGGCATGAACTGCCCTGGAGGGCGGTATATTAATAATAACAATAATAATAACAATAACAATAATAATAATAATAATAATAATAATAATAATAATAATAATAATAATAATAATGTGCCTGATGCTCAGCTTTGGCCAGCCTGTCTCAAGCAAGGATATTATAGAGCTGGAAGAAGTACAGAAAATGGCAACCGAAATGGTTGTTGGAGCAGGAACACCTTCCTGATGCAAAAAAGCTAAAGCACTTAAGGAAAAAGGTTCCTGAGGAAGGTCATTAAGGAGGTTTGTGAAAGTAGGCATGGGGTAAAGAAAGTGGAAAGCTTTTCTCTGTCCCCCAAGAGGTCATCCAAAAAGTAGTTTGGTGGGAGATTCAGGAGGAAATGAAGAAAGGTACTCAGACAGCACCTAATAAATTTGTGGAATTGATTGTCATGAGTTGTGGTGATGGCCACCAGCGTACATCAGAGTCCTGCAGCTGGATCAGACCAAAAGCCCATCTAGGCCTATCTTCCCAGGAGTCACCCACATGCCTCCAAGAAGTGTGCAGGCAAGACATAACTGCAACAGCATCCCCCTTATTTGTTCTCCCCAGCACTTGGGACCTAGAGACTTCCCACCTGGAACTGGAGCTTCCCACCCATACTGGAGGTAAGATGCTGCCACCAGGCAGCCTTATCCTCCTCTGTGGATTTGCCTTGCACCCCTTTCAAAACTATCTAAGTTGGTAGCTTTGGGGAAGGGCTGCACATAGCTCAGTGGCAGAGGGAATCTGATTTGGATACAAATCCCAGCCCCTTGAATTTCCAGAGCTGAGGTAGTGTTGGGAATGATTCCTACCTGAAATCCTGGCCAATCATCGTTAACAGTACTGAGCTCAGTGGACCAATCATTTGACTTGGTATAAGGCAAATTCCAGCACAGCCAGCACCACACTATGTAGTAGCTTAGATGACTTTAGGCCAATCTATGAAATGCTGTCCATATGGAACCTCCCTACCCAGAGGCAGCGTGTTTCTACACACCAGTGGCCAGGGAGTTGCTTTCTGACCTTGCTTGTGGGCTTCATGGAGGCACCTGAAATACCTGGAGGACTATCACATGGAAGACGGAGCAGGCTTGTTTTCTGCTGCTCCAGGAGGTAGGACTTGAACCAATGGATTCAAATTAGAAGAGAGGAGATTCCGACTGAACATTAGGAAGAACGTTCTGATGGTAAGAGCCGTTTTGACAGTGGAACCGATTCTCTTGGAAGTTGGTGGACTCTCCTTCTTTGGAGATTTTTAAACAAAGGTTGGATGTCCTCCTGTAAGATTCTTTAGCTGTGATTTCTGCATTGCATGGAGTTAGTCTCGATGACCCTTGCTGTCCCTTCCAACTTTGAAGTTTTATGACATTATGATCCGATTGCTTTGATCCAGCAGGACTCTTCTTCAACCCCTCAGTGCTATAATAAAGGACTTTATGCACTGAATGACTCTACAGCCATGATATGCAACAGCGGATAGAGATCTTTCCATTTATCTTCAGGATCCAGTTGGCTTACCCGCATTTGGAGAGGCGAATTTCTTGTTTTACATCAGCTCCGTCCTTTCCTGTGGTTGTGACCCAGTGTTTCTCCTGTCGCATAACAAAGCTAAAAAGATACACATGTCAAGTGCACACACAGCACACAACTCCAAATTCTCCTTTCTGGGCTGATTAGGAAACACACATCAAAGTGGCAGCATCTTCAGAGAAAAATAACCTTGTTACGTCAAGCCAAAAGTAGCTCTGATTGCCATAGTTACTGGGGATGCTGGCAGAGAAGTTGATTATTATTATTTTTGTTCTCAGTGACTGTTCCAAATGAATTCATGATTTCCTGATCTATAAAAATGAGTCTGCTGGAAAATGAAACTAGGATAGTGAATAAGAACGTAAGAAGAGCCCTGTAGTTGGATCAGGCCAAAGGGCCTAGTCAAGCATCCTGGTGTTTTTTTTAAAGTCAATCCTTTATTAGGCATAGCAAACCACACATTATCAAACAAACACCGTATACAAATTGTGCAAAATACGAGATCCCGCATCCTGTTTTTGCAGAGGCCAGCCAGATACTTCTTCTGGGAAGCCTGCAAGTGGGACACAAGTGCAGCAGCAGCAGCCTCCCCACTGGTGGTTCTTTGCAACTGGTATACAGAGAGAGGCATGCTGGCTCTGACAGTGGATGAAGAATGCCATCATGTGGGGGTTGAATATGGCAAAGCAAATAGCATCCCAAGGGAAGGAGTGGACCTTACTGGGATCCCCAGGGCCTGGTTTCCTCCATATGGCCTAAGGACTGAAATGGCCCAACTGTCCTTTGAGCTTTTGCAGGCAAAAAAGGAAAGGAAAAAAGAGCACTTCAGCCAGAGGTGTGTGCGCCCTGTAGCATGGCTCTAAGTGTCCATGTGGTGAGAGTCCATCATTTGCTTTGTCACCCTCCTTAAGAACTATGAGGGCAGCTTCCTGGTGGCAAGAGGCAGCCTTTGACCATTTTATGTGAGAGCACACTCTTGTATGGTTGCCAAAGCTGCTTTGCCACTGCTTGATAGAATGCACCGTATTTTTGCTCCATAAGACGCACCTGACCATAAGACGCACCTAGTTTTTAGAGGAGGAAAACAATAAAAAAACTATTCTGAACAAAACAGTGGATGTATGATTTTTGTGGTTCATGCTGTGGCCACAGACATGTGATATGACGGTGAGTTTGGGGTAGCCCAATGCAAAAATCCTGAGAATCCATGGGGATCCGTTCTTTGTAACCACGTTTTTGCGCCATTGTAGCCCCACAAAACAGTGAGTGCGTGGTTTTTTTGGTGCAGGCTGTAGCCATGGATATGCTTTGTGATCTGATGGTGAATTTGGGCTGACCCAATGTAAAAATTCTGAGGATCCATGCGGATCCGTGCTTTGTAACCACATTTTTGCACCATGGCAGCTCCAGGAAATAGTGGATGCATGATTTTGGGGTGACCCAATGTAAAAATCTTGTGGATCCATGGGCCTTTACCTCCACTAGCGTCCCTTATCTCTCTCCCGATCCTACCGATCAGCTGCTTCCTTTCCCTCTTGTTTGCCTTAGTGTCTTTTTCTTAGCTGGAGCAGTTTTTTGCTCCTCCTTTTCTTCTAATTTCTCTCCTCATTTATTTAGTCTTCCTGTCTCCTCTCCTTGCAAGTTTGCTGTCTTTACCTCCCCCCTCCTAGGCAGCCTCCTTTCTTGCTAGCGTCCCTTATCTCGCTTCCAATCGCTTGATCGCTTGCAATCAGCAGCTTTGTTTCAACACCCACTTCCCTCTTTCAAAAAAAAAAAAAAAAGCATGATCTGCTTTTTGCCCCTGGGCAATTCGGCTCCAGGGACCACGCATCCGCTCCATAAGATGCACAGACATTTTCCCTTACTTTTTAGGAATAAAAAAGTGTGTCTTATGGAGCGAAAAATACGGTATGTAATGATTTTGTAAGTATGTGTTCATTATGTATGTATGTATGTATGTATGTATGTATGTATTGCATTTCTATCCCACCTTTTCCTCCAAGGAGCTTCAAGCTGGTATACATGGTTCCCCCCCCCCACTCCTTTCATCCCAAGCACCCTGTAAGGTAGATAGCCGTGTTGGTCTGACACAGTCAAAATAAATCAAAAAATTTTCCAGTAGCACTTTAGAGACCAACTAAGTTTGTTCTTGGTATAAGCTTTTGTGTGCATGCACACTTCTTCAGATACACTGAAACAGAAGTCACTAGACCCTTATATGTAGTGGGAGGGTGGGGTGGGGGTTTTCTCAGAAGGGTCGTAGGAGATGGGTGATTGACTCAATGGGTATGATAAACCTGTTGATGACTGTTAATGACTGCAATTAGTGCTACAGGAAAAAGCAAGGGATAGTATGCAGATGAAACAAAAAATAGCTTTAGCAAATGTCATGAGAATCCAATATCTCTATTCAGACCAGGTCTCCCCATAGTTTTCAGTTAATTAATAAGTTGTAATTCAGCAACTTCTCTTTCAAGTCTATTTCTGAAATTCACTTTTTATGTGTTGTACAAAATGTTCATGTTTTATTTGATTCCCCTCACCCCACCTTACTATGGTGTAACATGTTTATGTCTGTGTTTTTAAGTGCAAGTTGTTGGGAAACTAATAAATTGCAGAAACAATAATGATATTGACCTTGGCTGGGGTGTCTTGCCCTGCAGATGCTCTGACTGGCTCCTGGGGTCATGCCATGTATTGTTTAGCGGCTCAGTTCCTTTGCCAGGCCTGCCAGCCTTTGTTCAGCTCCCCTCTCCTGACTTTCATTTCCCTGTCCATGCAGTGGGGCTTATCTGAGCAAGCCGAGAAATAAGTCCAGGACCCACCAGTTGCCTTGTCACAGACTCCTCTGTGCCTCACGATGCTGGTGAAGGGGTGGGGGGAGCCCAACATCTGGGCCTCAGTTGCCAAATATATCACTTCTTGGAAAGGAAACTACTTTGTCAGCTGCAGCAAATCAGAGAAGGAGAGGTTTGCAATGGGGTGATTTGACCAAAGGAGGAAAGAAAGAGAAAAATTATTGAATGGTGGAGAGAAGTCTTTGTGTGCACAGATGAAGCACTACCCGCCCCCCAGCCCAGCAAAGAGGTCCCAGAGAAACAAATGAGGTTCATGGGCAGATGGGCCTACTGTCACTTTGGTACCCTAATTCATAGCACGTTATTTATCTGGGCCGGAAACTTAGGAAGCTGCCTGATACTGTCAGGCCATTGACCCATTCAGCTTAGTGTTTGCCACTCTGGCAGCAGCGTTCCAGGTCTCTCTCAGCCCTATCTGGAGATTCCAGGGAAAGGTTCAGAAAGGGGCAACAGGAATCATCAAGGGGATGGAGCATCTCCACTGTGTGCAAAAGTTGCAGCATTTGGGACTTTTTAGTTTAGAGAAGAGCTGAGTAAGAAGAGACAGTGGATACAGAAAAGTTTTTCTCCTTCTCTTATAACACTAGAACTCAGGGACATCCAATGAAGCAGATTATTGGAAGATTCAGGGCAGCTCTGAAAAAGTACTCACTCCCACAGGAGGCAGAGGTGGCCACCAACTTGGATAGCTTTGAAAGAGCATTAGATACATTCATGGAGGAGGAGGAGGCTATCAATGGCTAGTAGCCATGGTGGCCATGCTGGGCCTCCACTGGCTGAAGCACTAATGCTTCTGATATCAAATGATGGGAACCACAGGAGGGGAGGGTGCCCTTGTGTTTGGGTCCTGCTTGCGGGCTTCCTATTAGGGCATCTGATCGGCCACTATGAGATCAAGATGCTGGCCTACATGGGCCATTGGACCGATCCAACAGCCAGGCTCTTCTGATGTTCTCTGCCACTGAGTCCTTCCTGTAAGGGATCCATTGAGTTTCAGGAGAGTTATGATCTTATATAGGAGTACACAAGCCCCTTCAGGGAAACTTCAGACCTGCTACCTACATTTGTATTGGGAAGTTGAGGGAATGTGTGGAGACTTTTACTTTATGCTTCATTTATATTTCTGTCCCCTCTTATCCCTAGGCACCAGGGTGGGCATCTCTATTTCGCTTCACATAATTTTATCCTCACAATGATCCTGTGAAGGAGGCTGAATGTATAATTGATTGATGAGACTCACTGCCAAAAGATGTCATGATGGCTGCCAGCTTAGAGGAATTTTAAAATGGGGAGGGGATTGTTAGACCAATTCATGGTGGAAAAGTCTAATAACAGTGATGACTAAGTGGAACCTCCAGCTATCTCTGAACACCAGTTGCTGGTTAGTTACTGTGTGAAACAGTGGACTAAGGTGTGTGTTATGATGCAAACCTGCAGTTGAGATTCCTGTGTTGCAGGGGGTTGGTCTAGATGACCGTCAGGTCCCTTCCAACGCTACAATTCTGTGATTCTACGAATCCATAAGCCAGGCTTTCTGAGGTGGACTGTACATCTGAAAACTAAATGGACAGTGGGTCATGGGTCTGAGCCAAGCTTCTCATATTCCACTGCTGGTCTTGTCGTTCCATGGGGAAAAACAAAGACTGAGAGTTTGTTGAGAGCCAGCTAATAATTCAAAAAATCTTGTGAACTTGGATTTCCTTGCTGGGACATAGTTGTCCAGAAGCTGCCCAGGAGCCTTGCAAGAGCCACCAAGCCCCGCTACCTGCCCCCTCTCAAATGCTTTTACTTGGTTGTCCTCCCTCAGTGCAGGCATCTGTGTCTCCTATGGCATCTTTTACCAGCCTGGTACCCACCAGTTGATTTTGGATTCCAGTTCCCAGCAAGCATCCCCAGCAGCCAGCATGGCCAACGACCAGGGATTATGGAAGCTGGAGGGCACCAGGTTGGAGAAGACTGACCTGTCATCAGGCCAGATCGATGTGCACCCTCGACCAGGGTGTCTTGGGCATCTCCCAGGTGTGTCCCTTAGCTGCCGGTGGCTCAGGCCTCGATTCTTGGCATGCTTGACAGGTGGAAACCCAGGCAGTAATGGCATCGTCCATGTTAGGGCGCCAGACGTAACACCGAGCCAACGCCTTCATTTTGACGATTCCCGGGTGGTCAGCATGCAGAGCCTCCAGGACGCGTTGACGGAGTCTTTGGGGAATCACAACGCGGTCTCCCCACAGCAGACAGCCACGATGAGCAGGCATCTACTGGGAGTCAGCAGCTGGTTCCCATGAGGCTGCAACCTGGCCTGCCTAGAGGTGATGGTCAAAGTATGGCTTGCCTGTAATGGGTGGGGTCTCAGCCCTTTGGCCTCCACCTCCCTTTCAAAGCAGTTATGCGGCAAACTTGGGGGCACATGTAGGATGATCAGGGGGCTGGGACTAGGACTGGAGGATGTCAGTTGGTGGCAGGTCCCAGGTCTGGCCAGCTCTTCTTCCCCCTTGAACTTAGGGGGAAGTTGGCCTGGAGAGGAGAAGACTGGGAGGTCTTGATCTTCAAATATCTAAAGGGTTGTCATATGGAAGATGGAGCAAGCTTGTTTTCTGCTGCTCCAGAGGGCAGGAAGCAAACCAAGGGATTCAAATGACAAGAAAGAAGATTCCAACTGAACTTCAGGAATAACTTACTGTGGGTAAGAGCCTTAGGCGCCGACTCCATGGGGCTTGAGGGGGCCCGAGCCCCCTCAAAAATTTGTTTGGGGGGGCTCCGCCCCCCAATAATCTCCGGCGCCCCTCCAGCAGAGCGCCATTGCCGCCCCTCCCCCAGCCCAAAATGCACAGGGAGGGGCGGGCTGCATGCCTCCTGCCCTCCCTCCCGAGCAAAAGCTCCACCCAATTTCCTTTGGAGCTGATTAATAGGCGCAGCATGCTCTCCCCTATTCGCTCACGAGGAGGCGGCGCCACTTTATTTGCATATTCATGAGCTTATTTATTATTCATGAGCTTTCCCGGGCCCCCCCAATATTTTTTATAAGTCCGCGTCCCTGGTAAGAGCCATTTGACAGTGGAACAGACTGAGAAGGTGGTGGACTCCCTTTCCTTAGAGGTTTTTAAACAGGTTGGATGGCCACCTGTCCTAGATGCTTTAGCTGTGGTTCCTGTAATGCAGGAGTTTGGACTAGATGACCCTCAGGGTCTCTCCCAACTCTACAGTTCTATGGTTCTGTGAACTAAGGATGCTTCTAGGCAAGAATCAGGACAAGGCAGCACAGCATCCAACTCTTTCAGAGGCTGTTTGGTCTTGCAAAGGTTTGCTGCTTCTTAGTACCAAAAGCAAACCATAAACTTGTACCTTGCGCCTACCTGCTGGATCCAGGAGGGGCCAGGAAGGCAGTATCTTGCTTGACAGAAACCCTTTGCTTTCTCTCCCGCCCCAGGACTGCCCTTTCATTGTGTGCATGACTTACGCCTTCCACACCCCTGACAAGCTGTGCTTCATTCTGGACCTGATGAACGGTAAGGAAGATCAAGTGGGAGATCTTGGGGTGGGAATATGCACAGATTGCTATGCCAAGTTCTGAGCTTTGCAAATGGAGGCCAGTCCCTCCATTTGCAAATGGAGGACAGTCATGGGCTTTCACCTCCCCGCTCTGCTTGCCAATGTTGGAAACAGGGTCAGATCCAGCAAGGCCATTGCAGTGTTCTTTTTTAAAACAAAATTATTAACAAATTCAACATAACAAATCAACAATACAAATCATCTTCATTGTTTTTCCCCTCCCATTTTTCTCCCTCCCACCCCCCCAACAAACCCCCCTCCCTCCCCACCAGGACTTCCCTCAGCTCCTCTCTCTGATTTCTCATCTCATATTGTTCTCTGCATATTATAAAATTCTATACATCCTTATATTATCTACCCTCCATATTAGCCCAATAAATTTGTGTATGTTTATTCAAAAGCTGCCAAGGAGTCCAGTTCATTTTGTTGTCTTTTTAAATAGACTGTAAAAGGTTCACAGTTGTCTTTATCTCGCAATTTACATGTCAGTTTCGCCAGTTCTGCATAGTTCATTAATTTCTCTTGCCACTGTTCTTTTGTTGGGGTTTCCTCATTCGTCCATCCTTGTGCTCTCAAGACTCTTGCCACCGTTATTGCATACATAAAAAAAATCTTTATTTTTCTTGGCAGGTCTTGTCTAACAATCCCTAACAAAAATGCTTCTGTTTTTTTTACAAATGTCATTTTAAACATTTTCTTCAATTATTTGTATATCATTTCCCCGAAAAAATTAATTTCTCTGCATTCCCACCACATATGGTAAAAGGTACCTTCTTTTCCTTTACATTTCCAACATATATTTGACCCAGTTTTATACATTTTTGCTATCTGTACTGGTGTGTTACATCATGTACATCATTTTCATATAATTTTCTTTCAAAAGAGAACAGTCTGTAAATTTTAAATCTGTTTTCCACAATTTTTCCCAGTCTTCAAATTGTATATTATGCCCTATATCTTGTGCCCATCTTCATCTTTTGTTTCCCATTCTAGCAGAATACTATATACATCCTTCAGCAACTTCATTTTCCCTTCTATGACTTCCTTTTGAAATCTAGAAGTAGTATAACTAAATCCTTTCTTGTTATCTTCTTTATGCATCTTATGTAATTGCCTATAGTGTAGCCAACTCTGAAAATGATCTTTTATTTCCTCATACTCTTTTAGTTTCCATTTTCCTTCTTGTTCTTTCAGTAAATCACTATATGTAAGCCACTTCCCTTTCTTTCCAAGTGGCTTGAGCAGCAAAGCTTCAATTGGTGAGAGCCACCAAGGTGTCTTTTGTTCTATTAAATCTTTATATCTCTCCCACACCCTCATTAATGATTTACTAATTATATAATTATAGAATCCTTTATGTACTTTTCTTTTCCTTTCCCATACCATAAGTATGCATGCCATCCAAATCTGTTATCGTGACCTTCTAAGTCCAATGCTTCTTCCTTTTCCAGTTTTATCCAGTCCCTAATCCATAATCTCACCTGGAGTACTGTGTCCAGTTCTGGGCACCACAGTTCAAGAAGGACACTGACAAACTGGAACGTGTCCAGAGGAGGGCAACCAAAATGGTCAAAGGCCTGGAAACGATGCCTTATGAGGAACGGCTAAGGGAGCTGGGCATGTTTAGCCTGGAGAAGAGGAGGTTAAGGGGTGATATGATAGCCATGTTCAAATATATAAAAGGATGTCACATAGAGGAGGGAGAAAGGTTGTTTTCTGCTGCTCCAGAGAAGCGGACACGGAGCAATGGATCCAAACTACAAGAAAGAAGATTCCACCTAAACATTAGGAAGAACTTCCTGACAGTAAGAGCTGTTCGACAGTGGAATTTGCTGCCAAGGAGTGTGGTGGAGTCTCCGTTTTTGGAGGTCTTTAAGCAGAGGCTTGACAACCATATGTCAGGAGTGCTCTGATGGTGTTTCCTGCTTGGCAGGGGGTTGGACTCGATGGCCCTTGTGGTCTCTTCCAACTCTATGATTCTATGATTCATACCAAAACTGCCTCTTTCTTTTATATCTGTAAGTATCTTATGCTTTATCCTTGGCCTTTTGCCCCCCCCCCCCCGATAAACTTGGAAATTTCCTTCTGTCATCTTTTGAGGCAGTCATCTTTCACCATTACTGGGACTGTCTGGAAAAGAAAGAGCATTTTTGGCAAAACATTCATTTTTACCGCTGCAATTTTTCCTAGTAGGGAAAGGTTCATTCTACTCCTTATTTCTTTTTATCTCAAGCCGCACTTTTTCATAGTTGTCTTTATAGATATTTATATTTTTTGATGTTAACCATATCCTAGATATGGCCTTCTATCTCAATACTTTGCTCCAGCTCTTCTTCTTTCAAATTCTTAACTAATAACTTAGTTTTATTTCTATTTAATTTAAATCCTTCCACTTCCCCAAATTTATGAATCTTTTCTATAACTCTGAGTAGAGAGTTTTTTGGATCTTCCACTGTAATCACTAAATCATCAGCATATGTTTTTAATTTAAACTCACTTTTCCCTGTTTTTATCCCAGTGATCTTCTTATGTTTCTGGTAAGTACTTCCAGGACCAGAATGAACAAAAGCGGTGATAGTGGACAACCTTGTCTAGTTCCTTTTTGTATCTTACAGTCTTCTGTTATCACCTGATTTACAATTAATTTGGCTTTTTGTTCTGAATATATTGCTTGCATTCCTTTAAAAAATTTGGATCCACAATTAATTTCTTCAAGTAATTTTATCATAAAATTCCAAGATACATTGTCAAAAGCTTTTTCAGCATCCATAAACTTCACTGCTGCTTTCTTTTCATTTTTAACCTATAGGTATTCAATTACATTCAGAATATTTCTTATATTCTCGTTCATTTGTCTACCTGGAAGGAATCATGCCTGATCTTGATGTATATCAAGCGGGTCTTCAGCACAGTTTGGGGATGGTCCTTCAGAGCATCGCAAGGATGGGCAGGTTGCTCCCTTTGGGTTCTCCACCAACACAGAATCATTGCTTGAAATTTTTAGATTTCTCTCCTCAATCATGCATTCTCTTAAGTAGCTTTTGCTAGGATGAAGCTCTCTTTCTTGGGAGGCTGGTGTGGTCCCTTCCCTCTGTTGTGTTCCATTTTTAAATTGTTTTGTGAACCACTTTGATGACCTTTGGAATGCCAAGAGGAATATACCATATTTTTGGCTCCATAAGAAACACTTTTTTCTTCCTAAAAAATAAGGGGAAATGTCTGTGCATCTTATGGAGCAAATTTGTGGTCCCTGGGGCTGAATTGCCCAGGGGCAAAAAGCAGATCATGCTCTTTTTTTTGAAAGAGGGAAGTGGGTGTTGAAACAAAGCCACTGATAGCAAGCGATCGGAAGTGAGATAAGGGACGCTAGCAAGAAAGGAGGCTGCCTGGGAGGGGGGAGGTAAAGACAGCAAACTTGCAAGGGGAGGAGACAGGAAGACTAAATAAATGAGGAGAGAAATTAGAAGAAAAGGAGAAGCAAAAAACTGCTCCACCCTAAAAGACACTAAGGCAAACAAGAGGGAGAGGAAGCAGCTGATTGGTGGGATTGGGAGAGAGATAAGGGATGCTAGTGGAGGCTGCCTGGGAGAGTGGAGGTAAAGTCCATGGATCCTCAGGATTTTTGCATTGGGTCACCCCAAATTCACCATCACATCGCATGTCCATGGCTACAGCCTGCACCAAAAAAAATCATGCATCCACTGTTTCCTGGGGCTGCAATGGTGCAAAAATGTGGTTACAAACAACAGCAATGGGATTCATTAACAGTCTGTGGGCAGGTAGGGTCTTAGCCTGCGTGCCAGGTGGAGCTGGTAGACAGCCACCCTGGACACAGAATTAACCTGCAGCTCCATGGACAGCTGTGAGTCCAAAATGACTCCCAGGCTGCACACCTGGTCCTTCAGCGGCACAGTTACCCCATTCAGGACCAGGGAATCCCCCACACCCGCCTGCCCCTGTCCCCCCAAAATAGTACTTCCGTCTTGTCAGGATTCAACCTCAATCTGTAAGCTGCCATCCATCCTCCAACCGCCTCCAGGCACTCACACAGGACCTTCACCGCCTTCACTGGTTCTGATTTGAAAGAGAGGTAGAGCTGGGTGTCATCTGCATACTGACGAACACCCAGCCCAAACCCCCTGATGATCTCTCCCTGCGGCTTCATATAGATTTTAAAAAGCATGGGGGAGAGGACGGAACCCTGAGGCACCCCACAAGTGAGAGCCCAGGGGTCTGAACACTCATCCCCCAATACCACTTTCTGGACACGGCCCAGGAGAAAGGAACGGAATCACCGTATAACAGTGCCCCCAGCTCCCAGCCCCTCTAGACGGTCCAGAAGGATGTTATGGTCGATGGTGTCAAAGGCCGCTGAGAGATCCAGCAGAACTAGGAAACAGCTCTCACCTTTGTCCCTATCCTAGATCATCAAGCAGCATGACCAAGGCAGTTTCAGTCCCATGATGAGGCATGAATCCCGATCGGAAAGGGATCCAAATGGTCCGCATCCTCCAGGCATGCTTGGAGTTGTTCAGCAACCATCCGCTCAATCACCTTGCCCAAGAATGGTAGATTTGAGACTGGGCGATAGTTGGCCATATTGGCCGGGTCTAAAGATGTTTTTTAAGAAGCGGTTTAATGACCGCCTCTTTCAGCGGGTCTGGGAAGGCTCCCTCACAGAGGGAAGCATTCACCACCCCGCAGAGCCCATCACCCAGCCCTTCCCAGCTCACTTTTATCAGCCAAGATGGGCAAGGATCAAGGAGACAGGTAGTCGGTTTCACTTGTCCAAGCAGCCTGTCCACATCCTTGGAGGTAACAGATTGGAATTGATCCCATGTAACAAGACTAGACAGGACTCTAGCACTCCCCTGCCCTGGCCCTGCTCCCACGGTGGAGTCTACCTCCTTCTGAATCTGAGTGACTTTATCTGCAAAAAACTTTGCAAAAGCATTGCAGGAGATCTTGGGGTCCCTACCAGGCCCCGGTGATGCAGGTGGTTCCGATAGATTGCGAACCACCTGAAAGAGTCTCCTGCTGCTGTTTTCTGCAGTTTCAATAGAGGCGGTGAAGAAGGCCCTCTTCGCTGTTGCCATTGACACTTGGTAGGCTGGACGTTGAGCTCTAGCCCTTGTCCGGCCTGATTCAGAATGAGTTTTCCGCCACCGGCGCTCTAGCCGTCTCAACGATTGTTTCATCACCCTCAGCTCTGGGGAAAACCACGGGGCTGTCCGGGCTCCATGCAATCAGAGAGGGCGCTTCAGAGCCAGACAGTCAATAGCCCTGGTTAACTCTGCATTCCAGCGGGCCACCAGGGAATAAGCTGAAAGGCCATCATCTTGGAATAAAACATCTCCTATCACTCTCTGGAAGCCAATTGGATCCATTAAGTGGCAGGGGCGGACCATCCAAATCGGTCCCACCTCCCTGCAGAGGGGAAGGGTTGCAGAGAAGTCCAGTTGCACCAGGAAATGATCTGACCATGGCACTTCTTTTGTTTCACTTTTAGTTAGTGTCAGATCACCAACATCCGTAGAGGTAACCACCAGGTCTAAGGCATGTCCGTGGCTATGAGTTGGGCCAAACTTATTCAGGGACAGCCCCATGGAGGCCATGCGTTCCACAAAGTCCTGAGTGGCCCCTTGTAAGGTCGTGTCAGCGTGGATGTTAAAACCCCCCAGGACAACCAAACTAGGTGTCTCCAGGAACATATCCGCCACGACCTGAAGCAGCTCCGGCAGGGAATCCTTGGTGCAGCGGGGAGGTCGGTACACCAAAAGGAATCCTGTACTGCCCCTATTGCCCAACTTCCAGAGCATGCACTCAGAAAACTGGGTCTTCCCAATAGGATGCCTGGTGCAGACTAATGACTTCCTAAAAATCACTGCAACCCCCCCTCCCCGCCCACATGACCTGGGTTGCTGTGCATAAGAGAAACCTGGTGGACAAGCAGCAACAAGGATAGGCCTATCTGTTTCATCCAACCAGGTCTCTGTCACACATGCCAAGACAAATCCTCCATCCACAATCAGGTCATGGTTGGCAGTGGTTTTATTCACCATTGACCTGGCATTGCACAGCAACACTTTCAGGTCATGTGGGTTTCTCTTGCTGATTCCAGTATCCTTCCGGTCAGGACCAGACCTGGAGGCAGGGATAATCCTCAAACAACGACTAAGCCTGCCTCCTCGGTAATGACATGGTCTGGTCTTAGCATAACTCCTCCTCAGGATTTTTGCATTGGATCACCCCAAATTCACCATCAGATCACATAGCATGTCCATGGCTACAGCCTGCACCCAAAAAATCACGCACCCACTGTTGTGTGGGGCCGCAATGGCACAAAAATGTGGTTACAAAGCACAGATCCACATGGATTCTCAGGATTTTTGCCAAACTCACCGTCAAATCACATGTCTGTGGCCACAGCATAAACCACAAAAATCATACATCCACTGTTTTGTTCAGAATAGTTTTTTGTTGTTGTTGTTTTCCTCCTCTAAAAACTAGGTGCGTCTTATGGTCAGGTACGTCTTATGGTGCGAAAAATACGGTATATTGCAAAGCTGTATTGACCAGAGAGTGTTCTCAGTTCCCTGAGCTTGCATAGTCCTGGTCACTGTTCCATTCCCACCACCCCTGCAGAAGAGGGCCTCTGGAACTTCTGGGGAGCCATCCAGAGGTTGCTGTGTTGCTTCAGGACTGGCAAGGCCCTAGCAGAGCTAGTTTAGCTGCTCCTTTCCTCCCGGTCCCAGATCCAGGGCATGTGAGGAGTCATCCTTCTTCCTCATCAGTAGGATTTGGTCCCCCTCAGAAGTAGGGGGCCTCATGCTGTCACACAGGCAGGCATCCTCCTGTGCTGCTGGGGATTTTCTGACGCAAGAGGGTCAGGCCATTGGCCTGACCGGCATGCATTGATTCTCCCTAAACCTGTGGTATATACTATAATGGGGTTTCTTCCTGGGTGGTGGCCTCCGGAGAAATGCTGATGTCTGTTGACTTCCCCCTTAAGTGCTTGAGCTAGAAATAGGGTGGTCTTCTTACTTGTCCAACACTGGGCTTGTACTGCCAGGATTGTGGTGGAACTCAGCAGTAGCTCACTGGACTCACTCTCAGCATTGGAGTGCAGTGTTTTTAGGGAAGGTCCTGGAGTCCCTGACAGGTTCAGCCACTGATTAATGTCTACAAGGAAGGCAGCTGGGACTTGAGTGTTTCAAGACCTTGTCGTCCCAGATGTGCTTTGACTGCTTACAGTTATTGGGCAGTCATTTCCTTTCCCCAGCACTCCATTGTGGGAAACCAATTGGCACTTGCAACTCTGCAATTAAGTGTAGAGGAATGTGTTCATTTGCTTGGGGGAGATTTGGAGGCAAGCATAGGAGGAAACTCTGCTTTGGAAGAGTGAGGCCTGGGGGTTCTGTGTCGCTCTTTGCTCCACTATAGCCTTGCCCATCTTTGCTTAAACTGCAGAATCAATGAAGGCAGCAGAATTCAGCTTTTTCCTGGCACAGGATTTGGATATGTTAAAAGTATTTTTCCAACTCAACACTTGCAATGGTTGACAAAGAAAACCTTTGAAGGAAAGGGGAGTGTTGAGTGGAGGTTGGGAATAGGAAGATCTGGATGTGGATTGGAAAAGGGGGGGCAAGTAGAGGCCAGGAAAGGCTAGCAAATCTGGTTGCTCCTGAAATCTCTTCCTTCTTCTTCTTTGCCTCCTCTTCATCCTCTTGCTGTTAATGTATTTCCCTATATTCACACCCTGTTCCCTCCCCCGTAGTTTGATATTAAACAGGGTAATAATCTACAGTGGTACCTTGGTTTACGAACTTAATCCGTTCCGGAAGTTCATTCTTAAACCAAAGCGTTCTTAAACCAAGGCATGCTTTCCCATAGCAGTGGGGAAATTTACAAATGAACACACTCAATAGGAAACGGAACATGTTCTGCTTCCAAGGCAAAGTTCACAAACCGAAACACCTACTTCCGGGTTTGCAGCGTTCTTAATCCAAGTTGTTCACAAACTAAGCTGGTCCTTAAACCAAGGTACCACTGTAGTTAAGCAACTCTTCTTAAGACGTAGACATCAAAAATAAAAAACATCACAGTTAAATTATGGATAAAAATAAGAAAATTGCACTCTTAGAAGTAGCTTCAATGTCATTTAAAGATCCAGCTAAGCGGGTGGGTCTTAAGTACCAACCTGAACACCATCTTCCCACTTAAGTGTCCTGGCATTTGCTCTCCTGGCCCAGGGGAGACTGCCTAGCTCAATGCAGGCTCTCCAGGCTCATCGGCAAAGGTGCTGGAAATTGAGCCTGGCTTGTTCTTCCTGTGAAACTGACTTCTGGGCCCTTTCTCTCCTCCTCTTCACCTCTAGGTGGAGATCTTCACTACCACCTCTCACAGCATGGAGTGTTTTCGGAGAAGGAGATGCGCTTTTACGCCACTGAGATCATCCTTGGGCTTGAGCACATGCACAATCGCTTTGTGGTCTATAGAGACTTGAAGGTAACTTTTACCTAGGAGATTAAAATGCCACCATGGTGCCACACAGATTTGAGGAATGAGTGCCAAAGGAGTGCCAGAGATGGATGTGGGGAACTGCAGGCTGGTTTTGGAAGGAGTGAGGGATGTTCATTACAGGTGCTTGCTGTAACTGGCCTGAGAGGCAAAGGCAGAATGGGGCAGAGGGAAAGTGGCTGAAAAACCTATAGCCCTGTTCAGGCATCAGGGCAACCCAGAGTCCAACATGGCAGGTGGGTGGATCTCGCCACCCACCCCGCTTTGTGAGTTGCAGGACGACTGTGAAGAGTAAAATTCAGGACACATAATAGGAAGTCCTTCTTTACACAGCACATAGTTAAACTATGGGACTTGCTCCGCCAGTGAAGCAGTGATGACCACCAACTTGGATGGCTTTAAAATCACATTGGACAAATTCATGGAGGAGAGAAGGCCATCAATGCTCTGCCTCTAAAGTTGGAGGCAGTGATGCTCCTGAATAGCAGTAGCTTGATTTCCAGGATCTGCCTCTGCTTCTGATTCTCGCCCCCAGCTCACAGACTGGTGGAGGAACCATTTCATCACCGTGCCACCCCCTCCACCCTCTTTGGATTTCTAGATTGCCCTGATGCTTGAGTAAAGCTTTCCACTTTCTGTGGTTTAGCTTAAGATGGGCCAAATAATTGCATGCTTCCAGGGGTTCAAATGCTCTTCATCTTCTGTCTGTGCCCGTGCTTAGCATAGCTTGTGAGCATTTTGACCTTTCCCCCTCTGCCCCTAACAGATGAAAGGTAAGGGGGGGGGTGTCAGCTGTGCCAAAGACACAGGCCAGTGTTAGTTTTTCAGCAAGTCCATTTTCTTTTTTTTCTGGGTTGAGCATGTGCACAGTTTGGTGAACTGACCCTGTTGGTCGAACATTTCTTCGTTTCAGTTGCTAAGTAACAGGTGCTTATTGATGTGCTTCTAGCCAGCAAATATCCTCTTGGATGAACACGGCCACGTGAGAATTTCCGACCTGGGGCTGGCTTGCGATTTCTCCAAAAAGAAGCCTCATGCCAGCGTGTAAGTATTGTGCAAACACAGCTTCTGGCTGACACTTTGCACCGCTGTTACTTTCTCTTTGCCAACACCACCATGATTATTATCATGGAATTTATCACTTATTTATTTATTTCATAAAATTTATATTGCTACCATTTATTAAATTTATAAGCCACTTTTTTGGTCAAGGCAACTCAAAATGACTTTTAACCAACCAAACAAGCAAACAAACCACCAATACATTAAAACACATTAAAACTAAGGGGAAGAAATACATTTAAAATATCCCTCCCATCCACTCTAAAAGGCCAGAGATAGAGGCCAAAGGCCCAGTTAAAGAGGAAAGGTTTCGCCTTGATATATTGCTCATATGCTGTTTGATTGTAAAACACACACACACACACACACACACACACACACAAACCAAACCCTCAAAAACCCTCAAAAAGAATAAAGCAAAAAAATTATCAGTAAAGGAAATTATTTAAAACATTCAAAAAATGATTAAAATCAGAGATTGGCTAAAAACAGATTAGAACGCCCATCAACATTATGAGGCTGGGTAGGCATGTTCAAGCAAAATGTTTTTAGCAGGCACTGAAAAGAGTACAGCGAAGGCACCTGTCTGATGTCAACAGGCAGCAAGTTCCAAAGTGCTGTGGTGCCACACTAAAAGATTGATTTCTTACAAATGTGGAACATGTATTATGTGGCACCTGTAACAGTGTCAGTTTTGCTCTTATTGGAATGCAGAAAGCTGCCTTCCACCTAGTCAGGCAGAATGGGGCCACTAACTCTGACTGGCAGCAGCTCTCCAGGGCCTCAGGTGTTGAGACTGCTTTAATGTTAAGTTCTCGGGAGGGATTTTGTGACAAGTGGCGCTTACATAAATAAGGACTGCTACCTGACCTTTTTTCACCTGGAGGTGCTGGATTGTACCTAAGGCCCTATGTATGCATAGAACATGTTCTGATGATGAGTTATGGTTCCTGCTTTTCGGACACAAGATCACCAGCAACTCCATGTTTCAGTCTTAGGTCTGAAATCCTGGAAAACTGCTGTCAGTCAATGTAGACAATATGGTGCTAGATGGATCAGTGGTTTGATTTGGTACAAGACAGCTTCCCATCTTACTATTTAATTCAGAACTATGAGGACTAGAAACTAAGTTTATTTTTAGAGAAATATGCTTTGCATGGCCAGGAGGTTGTTTCTCAAATCAGTTTGATCTCAGCTACCTGTGGGCAGCACATGCACAGCAAAGTATTTCTCCAAGGCCACCTACTTCAATAAGAAACTTATTCTTGGAGTTTAGCCAAGTTCTCAGCATTTTTCATAATTTGGGCACTAAATTGTTGCAGAACCTTCTCACCAAAAGTGTGTGCCCCTTTGCTGCATCAAAAGATTGTTAAGTTCAGAGACAGTAGTTGTGGGAGTTTCAAGAACATAACAAAAGGAGAGCCTCCTGGATCAGGCCAATGGCTCACCTAGTCCAGCATCCTGTTGCCACAGTGGCTAAGCAGATGCCTCTTTTGGAAAACCCTCCAGCCCAGACCTGAGTACAAGAGCCCCCTTCCTTCCTGTGGCTTCTTTCTACAACTGGTATTAGTTGGAGGCAGAGCCAAGCCATCCTGGCTAGTAGCTATTGATAGCCATGTCCTCCATGAACTTGTGCAGTCCTTTTTTAAAACCATCTAGGTTGGCAGCCATTACTGCCTCCCATTGGTGTAAGTTCCATAGTTTTAAGTATGTGAATAAGTACTTTCTCTTATCTGTCCTGAATATGCCTATTTTCAGCTTCATTGGATGTCCACGAGTAACCCTGCCCCTTGCTTGCAGATTTTAGAAATGAACCATTGTAGGTGGTCCATCAAGCATCGCCCCCATAGCATCCTAAACTGCAGCCAGGCATTCACTAGTTGTCTGACTCGCTCCTTTTGCCTCCCTTAATCACAGCGGCACCCATGGCTACATGGCTCCTGAGGTGCTCCAGAAAGGGACAGCCTATGACAGCAGCGCAGACTGGTTCTCCTTGGGCTGCATGCTCTTCAAGCTTCTCCGAGGGTGAGCCCAGCCATTCTGGGGAGCGCAGAATTGGGGGGGGGTCCTCCTAAGCCATTGCTGCCTTCTGTTGTGCACGTGAGAAGTGCTTGGAGCTCCTTGGAGCAACAGGGCTTTGTGATGAGATGCAAAAAGAAAGTGATTTCTAGAATTTGAGAACAATTCCCAAAGATATGTATGTAATCTGCTTTATTTAATCCACACCTCCAACATTTATCCAATCCTAATTTATAAATTAAGTTCAATGTATTGTTAAATACCATTGATAGGGGTTTTTAAAACAGTTCTCATTTAGGTCTGCTGAAATTATATTAGAACGGAAGTTAACCCAAATTGAGTTCCATTTTTTCCTGGTTATTCTTTGATCCAAATCTGACACCCATTTTCTCATACGTGTATCCTGGTTCCAATCCAAGTTTAATCCATAGGTAGCTAGAATTAATTACTTTATCCAAATGATCAGACTAATGATCAGACTTCGATATATTAGCTAGCGTATACCCACTGGATATTTAAATATTTCTGCTGGGTTATCAATAATGTTATTATAGATGTTATTATGGAAAATGATAAAAAAATAGTGTTCAACTTTATAAAGGTAAAGGTACCCCTGCCCGTACGGGCCAGTCTTGCCAGACTCTAGGGTTGTGCGCTCACCTCACTCTATAGGCCGGGAGCCAGCGCTGTCCGCAGACACTTCCGGGTCACGTAGCCAGCGTGACAAGCTGCATCTGGCGAGCCAGCGCAGCACACGGAAACGCCGTTTACCTTCCCGCTAGTAAGCGGTCCCTATTTATCTACTTGCGCCCGGGGGTGCTTTCAAACTGCTAGGTTGGCAGGTGCTGGGACCGAACGACGGGAGCGCACCCCGCCGCGGGGATTCGAACCGCTGACCTGACGATCGGCAAGTCCTAGGCGCTGAGGTTTTACCCACAGCGCCACCCGCGTCCCTACTTTATAACTGCTGCTAAAATTATAATAGCCAAAAATTAAGGGAAAATCATATCTCCTGCTGAATGGACTGAGAAAATTTGGTCCATAGTAACTGTGGTTAACTTAACATTTCAAAAGAATACATAAAAACCAGCCTAGCAGGTTTATGGGAAAATTAGATTATTTGGCACTTTGAAGTGCCAGGGACAGGACTTTGAAGCACCACACAGGCAGCAAGGCACTGCTAAAATGAAGGAGGGGGTAACCCTTTGTTTTAGCAGCTGTTCCAATGCAAACCCTTTCCTGATTCTAAAACAACAGAAACTGCTGAAACTTTGCTGCCTCAGCTAGGCTGAGCTTCATTGCTAGACTGAGTTTTCATTGAAACTGCTGCTAAAAAGCAGGGGGGAAAGCAGGAAAACATTGGTTTCAGCAGGGCCTTTCCATCCTGCTTAGCACTGGGTTTGGGTGTGCAAGAGAGTTCCCTGCAGGGAGTTATCTTGCTTTACTGGAACTGAGCAAGTTTCACCTCCTTTTGCATCAGCTGTTTAGTGCTGGGTTCAAGAGCATGAGGAAAGTCTTTCACATGCGCATCTAGTAGGATTGGCCTGCAAGCCTACTTTCTGCAGTGCTCCAGAAGCTGTGCAGGGGCTTTTGGCCAAGCCCCACCTTTGTTGTTTAGTCGTTTAGTCGTGTCCGACTCTTCGTGACCCCATGGACCAGAGCACGCCAGACACTCCTGTCTTCCACTGCCTCCCGCAGTTTGGTGAAACTCATGCTGGTAGCTTCAAGAACACTGTCCAACCATCTCGTCCTCTTTCGTCCCCTTCTCCTTGTGCCCTCCATTTTCCCAACATCAGGGTCTTTTCCAGGGAGTCTTCTCTTCTCATGAGGTGGCCAAAGTATTGGAGCCTCAGCTTCACGATCTGTCCTTCCAGTGACAGGGCTGATTTCCTTTCAGCACTCAGGGCTGATTTCCTTCACAATGGATAGGTTTTATCTTCTTGCAGTCCATGGGACTCTCAAGAGTCTCCTCCAGCACCATAATTCAAAAGCATCAATTCTTCGGCAATTAGCCTTCTTTATGGTCCAGCTCTCACTTCCGTACATACTGGGAAAACCATGGTTTTAACTATAGGGATCTTTGTTGGCAAGGTGATGTCTCTGCTTTTTAAGATGCTGTCTAGGTTTGCCATTGCTTTTCTCCCAAGAAGCAGGCGTCTTTTAATTTCGTGACTGCTGTCACCATCTGCATTGATCATGGAGCCCAAGAAAGTAAAATCTCTCACTGCCTCCATTTATTCCCTTTCTATTTGCCAGGAGGTGATGGAACCAGTGGCCATGGTCTTTGTTTTTTTGATGTTGAGCTTCAGACCATATTTTGCACTCTCCTCTTTCACCCTCATTAAAAGGTTTTTTTAATTCCTCCTCACTTTCTGCCATCAAGGTTGTGTCATCTGCATATCTGAGGTTGTTGATATTTCTTCCGACAATCTTAATTCCGGTTTGGGATTCATCCAGCCCAGCCTTTCGCATGATGAATTTTGCATATAAGTTAAATAAGCAGGGAGACAATATACAGCCTTGTCGTACGCCTTTCCCAATTTTGAACCAATCAGTTGTTCCATATCCAGTTCTAACTGTAGCTTCTTGTCCCACATAGAGATTTCTCAGGAGACAGATGAGGTGATCAGGCACTCCCATTTCTTTAAGAACTTGCCATGGTTTGCTGTGGTCAGCACAGTCAAAGGCTTTTGCATAGTCAATGAAGCAAAAGTAGATGTCTTTCTGGAACTCTCTAGCTTTCTCCATAATCCAGCGCATGTTTGCAATTTGGTCCCTGGTTCCTCTGCCTCTTCTAAATCCAGCTTGCACTTCTGGGAGTTCTCGTTCCACATACTGCTTGAGCCTTCCTTGTAGAATTTTAAGCATAACCTTGCTAGTGTGTGAAATGAGTGCAATTGTGCGGCAGTTGGAGCATTCTTTGGCACTGCCCTTCTTTGGGATTGGGATGTAGACTGATCTTCTCCAATCCTCTGGCCACTGCTGAGTTTTCCAAATTTGCTGGCATATTGAGTGTAGCACCTTAACAGCATCATATTTTAAAATTTTGAATAGTTCAGCTGGAATACCATCACTTCCACTGGCATTGTTATTAGCAGTGCTTTCTAAGGCCCATTTGACTTCACTCTCCAGGATGTCTGGCTCAAGGTCAGCAACCACACTACCTGGGGTGTGTAAGACATCCATATCTTTCTGGTATAATTCCTCTGTGTATTCTTGCCACCTCTTCTTGATGTCTTCTGCTTCTGTTAGGTCCTTGCCACTTTTGTCCTTTATTATGGTAATCTTTGAATGAAATGTTCCTTTCATGTCTCCAATTTTCTTGAACAGATCTCTGGTTTTTCCCATTCTGTTGTTTTCATCTATTTCTTTGCATTGCTCGTTTAAGAAGGCCTTCTTGTCTCACCTTGCTATTATCTTGAAATCTGCATTCAATTTCCTCTATCTTTCACTATTTCCCTCGCATTTTGCTTGCCTTCTCTCCCCTGCTATTTGTAAGGCCTCGCTGGACAGCCACTTTGCTTTCTTGCATTTCCTTTTTATTGGGATGGTTTTCGTTGCTGCCTCCTGTATGATGTTATGAGCCTCCATCCATAGTTCTTCAGGCACTCTGTCCACCAAATCTAAATCCTTAAAGCTGTTCCTCACTTCCACTGTGTATTCATAGAATCATAGGATCATAGAGTTGGAATAGACCACACGGGCCATCGAGTCCAACCCCCTGCCAAGCAGGAATCATAAGGGATTTGATTTAGATTGTATCTTACCAGCCCAGTGGTTTTTCCTACTTTCTTCAGTTTAAGCTTGAATTTTGCTAGAAAAAGCTGATGATCTGAGCCACAGTCAGCTCTAGGTCTTGTTTTTGCTGACTGTATAGAGCTTCTCCATCTTTGGCTGAAGAGAATATAATCAATCTGAATTCGATGCTGCCCATCTGGTGATGTCCATGTGTAGAGTCGTTTCTTGTGTTGTTGGAAAAGAGTGTTTGTGATGACCAGCTTGTTCTCTTGGCAGAACTCTATTAGCCTTTGCCCTGCTTCGTTTTGAACTCCAAGGCCAAACTTGCCAGTTGTTCCTTTTATCTCTTGATTCCCTACTTCAGCGTTCCAATCCCCTATAATGAGAAGAACATCCTTCTTTGGTGTCATTTCTATAAGGTGTTGTAAGTCTTCATAGAACTGGTCCATTTCAGTTTCTTCAGCACCAGTGCATAAACTTGGATTACTGTGATGTTAAAAGGTCTGCCTTGGATTCGTATCGAGATCATTCTATCATTTTTAAGATTGCATCCCAGTACAGCTTTCGCCACTCTTTTGTTGACTATGAGGGCCATGCCATTTCTTTTAGGGGATTCTTGCCCGTCAATGAATTCGCCCATTCCCGTCCATTTTAGTTCAGGATGTCAATATTTATTCTTGCCATCTCATTTTTTACCACATCCAACTTACCTTGGTTCATGGTTCTTACATTCCAGGTTCCTATGCAATATTTTTCTTTGCAACATTGGAAAGGAAAGCCTTTCGCTTCCAGGCATATCTGCCACTGAGTGACCTTTCGGCTTTGGCCCAGCCACTTTATCAGCTCTGAATCTATTTGTACTTGTCCTCCGCTCTTCCTCAGAAGCATGTTGGACGCCTTCCGACCTGAGGGGCTCATCTTCCAGCATAATAACTTTTATATGCCTGTTGTCCATGGAGTTCTCTTGGCAGGGATACTGGAGTAGCTTGCCGGTTACTGCTCCAGGTGGATCACGTTTGGTCAAAACTGTCCATCTTGGGTGGCCCTGCATGGCATAGCTTATAGCTTCTCTGAGTTATTCAAGCCCCTTCGCCACGACAAGGCCGTGATCCATAAAGGGGAGCCCCGCCCTTACTTGCACCATACCTGATGTAGGTTGGGTGGGCCTGGCTTTCTCCAAGTGACCTTGTGGACTAGCTAGAGAGGCCCGGCAGGCCAAGTGTAGCCCACTGGCTGGAGAAACACACACACACACACACACACACACACACAGTTTATCTGTTCCATGCCACACCTTGGATTTTCCTGAATGTTATAGCACAGAACTTCAGGCAGCTAGCTGGGGAACATGCTTTATTCTTCTACAGTTTAGGATATAAAACTTTCCCCCCGGTATGAAAGTGTTTCTATGTCCCAATCCAAAGGAGCAGATGCAAACTTCTCTGTGCATGGATGCATGCCTTTGCCGAACTGGTGACCTCGAGATTTTTTTTGGACTACAACTCCCATCAGCCCCAGCAGGATCATACAACTGTGGTGACTGGGGTTGATGGGAGATTTTGATCCCAAACACCCAGAGGGCACCAGCTAATTTTATTAATCCCATTCTCCCATGTGCTGCCTAGTGCTCATGTCCCTGTTTCCTTCCATTCCCTTCTCTCCCTGCTTCCCCACACACCAAATCAGTGCTTTAATTTTTCTTCTTTCTCTAGGCACAGCCCTTTCAGGCAGCACAAGACCAAAGACAAACATGAGATTGACCGCATGACACTCACAGTGGTAAGGATTCTGAATGATGCCATTGTGTTTGTGGGAAGGGTCATCGTTCAGTGGTATAGCAGCAGCAGAAGGTCCCTGCTTCCATCCCCACTGATCTCTCCAGATGGGAGAGATACCTTTCTGAAATTCTGGAGAGCCTGTGCCAGCCAGCATAGGTATTACTGATCTAGAGGGGTCAATGGTCTAAGGCAGCTTCCAGTGTTTCTATGCTTTGTATCATGACTGTTACTCTGCAGTTATACTCTTTGGCCAGACGTGGTTCTGTCTCTGCTTTTGTTTGTTCATTTCAATCACTAACTATACTTCTTTTCAGGTGCAAGCCATCACTCAAAACAGTTTGCAATAATATTAAAATGAAAGATCAGTTGGAAGACAATTAATGAAGAGCAGCAATAGCCTTCTTCCTATTAAAAAAATTCTATAAAAGGCCTGATGAAGCAATACTAAAAGTTAGAGCATCCCAAACTCTTCCTTTGGCAGCAACAAGAGAAGTTCCCTGGGGAGACTGCTCCAAAGTTGGGCTTCCACCACAGAGAAGGCCCTCAAGGTCATTGATCCAGCCATCCACTGAATCTGCCTCTTTTCCTTATTCTAGACATGCAAAGTGCTTGGCTGCTCTTAGTTTAGGTACCCATACAGCTACCAGGAAGACATTTTTTGTTTAAAAGGAGGCTGAACTGTTTTATGGAAAACTAATTCTGTAGCTGTAGTGATGGCTTTAATTGCTTTTGGAATCTGTAGCATTTGAATTTTGTCTCATTTTATCTTGCTATGCCGCTTTGATAACTTTGGCTATGAAGCAGTATATGCATTTGTTAAATAAATAACATCAGCCCTGCAAGGTAGGGCCCAGCCAGCCTTGAGAGTAGTATCAGACAAGGGCTCTGGAGACCTTAGGCCAGTCACCATCTCTCAGCCTCACCTACACCATAGCTTCACCCGTGCTGAATGTACAGAAGTAAGTAGCTTCTTTTTTTGCTGCCATCTTTGCTTGCAGATGATTCTGTGGGGTCTTTTGTGGGTGTTGTTGTTGTTGTTCAGTCGTTTAGTCGTGTCCGACTCTTCGTGACCCCATGGACCAGAGCACGCCAGGCACTTCTGTCTTCCACTGCCTCCCGGAGTTTGATCAAACTCATGCTGGTAGCTTCGAGAACACTGTCCAACTATCTCGTCCTCTGTCGTCCCCTTCTCCTTGTGCCCTCCATCTTTCCCAACATCAGGGTCTTTTCCAGGGAGCCTTCTCTTCTCATGAGGTGGCCAAACTATTGGAGCCTCAGTTTCACGATCTGTCCTTCCAGTGAGCACTCAGGGCTGATTTCCTTAAGAATGGAAAGGTTTGATCTTCTTGCAGTCCATGGGACTCTCAAGAGTCTCCTCCAGCACCATAATTCAAAAGCATCAGTTCTTCGGCGATCAGCCTTCTTTACTCCCAGCTCTCACTCCCATACATCACTACTGGCTTTTTGTGGGTTGGGGGCACTGATACCTGTCTGGAGGATCCTAACTTTTGAGCAACTCCATTCAACTCTCACTGAGCTTATAGCCCTGTTTTCTTCTCAGAATGTGGAATTACCAGAGTCATTTTCCCCTGAACTCAAGTCTCTTTTGGAAGGTCTTCTCCAGCGAGACGTGAGCAAGAGGCTTGGCTGCCAGGGTAGTGGGTAAGTCCTCACTGATAGAAGAAGTGTTGCATGCCTTAAGAACATCCAAAGAGCCAGGCAGTAGGCTAAAGATGGTAAGCTAAAGATGGCCCAGCCTCCTCTTCTCACAGTGGCCAGCCAGAAGCACAGAAAGGCAGAAAGCAGGACCTTCCAGAGTTGGAGGCAGCAATACCAGATGCTGTAAGCCAGGAGGGGTTTTGTGTTCAAATCCTGCTTGCAGGTTTCCCACAGGCATCTGGTTGGCCACTGTGAGCGGAGGATGCTGGACCTGAGGGGTCGCTGACCTGATCCAGCCAGCTCTTATTATGTTACTATGAGTGCAACAGCAGCACTCTCCCCATTGTGATTTCTAGCAACTAATGTTCAGGGTTGTGCTGTCTCTGGCAGCGGAGGTGGAACATAGCCATCATGGCTAAAGTTAGTAGCCCTCAGAAGTTTTGTTTTACTTCAGCCTTAAACAAAAGATCTAGGGCTGCCCTTGCTGAATAAATTAAATCAGTGAAAAGACACCCTTCATATATTGGTTGCAGATTTTGTTTTAAAAAATCACTAACACAAGTAATACAGACTGCAAGCCCTGTCTTCAAAGAGGCATTCCTTCCCTTTTCCTCGCATAGGACAGAATGCCTTGTATGATGCCCCCTACAACACAAGAGAAGCGCATAGTCTAAAAATGAACAGAAAAGCAAAAGAAGCATGCTGTTTGCTTCAGAACTTATGCAAATAAAATTGATCAATTTGCAAATAGCAGTGCAGCCCCGAGAAAATCCGTTGGTTTTCCATTTCTATGGATTGATTCTCTGATGTCTTAGATAGCACCTAGATAGCCCTAAGCTACCTTTTAAAATATTTAAAGCAGCAGGGCTGTAACTCAGGAGATAGAGCACTTGCTTTTCATGCAGGAGGTCCCAGGCTCCTGGTGCAAGTCAATGTAGATAATACTGAGCTAGAATACTGAGCTCTATATGCCAGACACCATATAGAGCACCTCTGTGTTCATAGCAAATTGGTCTGCCTGAAAGCGTTATTGCCTAAGACAATCACCATCTGGTTGCAATTCATTCCTCAGGGCGCAGGAAGTGAAGGAGCACCCCTTCTTCAAAGGCATTGACTGGCAGTACGTCTACTTGCAAAAGGTGATCTGCTGCTATTTTTTAATCACACCCCTTATGTACGCTTGTACATTTTTTCTTAGAGGCACCAAAAGTTCAAATGGGGCTTTTGATGCAGTTTTGTGCTGAATTTTTGCCCTGTTGTTTGTTTTTAATTCTTATCACACATTGTCCTGATAGCTCAGCTGAAGGGCAACCTACCTTTTTAAATAACTACTAAGACTCCGTATCACCATGGCCTGTGGATTTGTAACTGCTACTCTTGCTTTGGCAGTACACACCGCCTCTGATTCCTCCGCGGGGAGAAGTGAATGCGGCGGATGCTTTTGACATTGGCTCCTTCGATGAGGAAGACACAAAAGGCATCAAGGTGTGAGGGGGACATTTTCCTTTAGCCATTGAGACCAGAGGAGGTGGGCTGTTTGTGATTTCCACCATGCTCACCCAGAAGCTTCTTGTGCTTCTCGTTTGACCCTCCTGTTCCACTCTAAACAGTCTTCTTGGCTTCCAGTGGTCCATAATGAGATGGGAGAGTGTTGGCAAGTGAGGGTGATGGATGGGGAAGGTGCAATGTAGCTGAGGATGTGTCCTTGCACCAGCTGGTGCAAGGATTACTGAGAGAATACATGCAGGGCCATTCAAAGATTTCCCTAATATGATAGGGACATGTTGGACTCCAATTCCCATCAGCCCCAGCCAGTCAAGGATGATGGGAGTTGTAGTTGTACATTCAACGTTAAGAATTGTTTTATGACTGTTGGGTTTGGAAAGGCCTTTGTCCAAGACAAGGTTGGGACTTGAGGACCAATTTCTCCCAGTAGGATTACCCCCTCCTCTCCAGATTGATTATATATTTTTAATCCATAGGCATAATTCCAATCAGTTTTATGGATATGATGGAAGGCAGCTGGTTTTGCCCTTTTGGTGATGTCTCTTCTCTCTCTCTCTGCTTCCTTGTACTGCCCACTTTTTATCAGTTGCTTGATAGTGACCAAGAACTGTACAAGAACTTCCCCCTGGTCATCTCAGAGCGCTGGCAACAAGAAGTGGTGGAAACGGTTTATGATGCAGTGAACAGTGACACGGACAAGATCGAAGCCAGGAAGCGAGCGAAGAACAAGCAACTGGGGCACGAGGAAGGTAGCAAAGGCAGCTCTGGTTCTGGAATGTGAGGTGGGATTTGCCAAGTCATGGCAGAGAGTGTGAGGGTCTTTGGGGGCTGATTTCTGCTCTCCCATCATTAAGGACTTCTTTTTAGGATTCTTTTAGTGCTCTCTTGCACTTCTGTTTGACTTCTTAAGGAGAGGGGCCTGGAAGTTCTTCCTGCTGAATCCCAGATGCATAAGGATTGACTGTGGCTACTGGGGACCTGCTTGTTAGTTTCTTTATTTAGATAGTACCCACATTGTGGGCAGTGCTTTAGAAGAGGAGAGGGAAGCTTTCAGTCTATAATTCAGTGCATGGAGGAGACTTCAGGTAGTGGAGGGTGGTGGAGCGGCAGGAGCGAATGTCACCAGCACATATGTTGTGCAGGAGGCTTGTTATCCGACGGTTATTGCTATGTGTGAGCTGGTGATTCTCAAGTCCCTCTGGTACATGTAACTGCATTTTGCTCACATTCATCCCTTTTGCCCTCCCATCCTGAGAGGATAGGAAGATCCATTGGCCAATCTAGTCTCACCAAGCAGATGCCTGTGGGAAACCTGCAGGCAGTATTCAAGCATAAGAACACTGCAGCTTCCAGTGAAAGCATTTACCATGGTGGCAGAGCATAGCTATCATGGCTAGTATCCAGAGAATCAGACTTTATTGTTATGATCTCAGATCAGCCACTAGAATAAAGTTGTCACAGTAAAGATTGGCTATTAGCTCTTTCATGAATTTGGCCAATCCTCTTTTAAAGCCACCCAAGTTGGTAGTCATCACTGCCTTCTATGGGAAGGAGTTCCATAGTTTAACTATGTGCTATGTGAAGGACTTTTCTTTTGTGATTCAAGGACCTGCCACATGGGCACAGGTTAATGGGCTAAAAAAGGCCACATCATGATTACAGCATGTGAGAGGTATTGGCTTAGACATTGGATAAAACAACAGAGCATGACTCCACCCCCTCAGGGAGGGGTGAGTCTATCAAGGGTTAACCACCAGTGGGAGGAGCCTGTTGATGCAAATACAACTGAAAGGCCCCCCCCCGATGTCACCGGGGGTCGTACTATGGCCCTAGCCATAGCAAGGGCGTTGGACAGGATCCACAACTGCCGGATTCCTTAAAATTGAGGGGTATGCAATGGCCACTCCCTGCCCTCCAACACACGACCATATTCCAATGCCTGACCGCCACCTGAGCCAAAAGAGGCTCGCCGCCAATACCCTCACAGCTGCAACCAATCCCTAAGGCTTCTGATGTCGGCCAGCCAAATATAATTGCCGAGGTCCGAGAGGTGAACTCCATCATGACGAAATAAAGACCATTCGCTGAACCGGATGTCAGCATGCTGACCACTTGGCCATTCATATGTGTGCACCAGCAGCACAATGGCTGAGAAACTAAACCCTGCCCCCAAGCCTCCAGCTGATTGGCTGGCCACCAGGGGGCGTGCCAATGGGGGAAACGGCTCCTGCTCACAACTCCTCCCCTCCCTGAGGAGGAGAGGCTTTGTCCCAAATCTCCCAATATTCATCTTCAGGTAACATTCAGACCCAGGTAACTACCAACTGGTGAGCTTGACATCAATACCAGGAAAGGCCCTAGAATAGATAATTCAACAGTTGGTCTGTAAACATTTAGAAGAGGATGCTGTGATTACTAAAACCCAGCATGGGTTTCTCAAAAATAAGTCATGCCAGACCAATCTGATTTCTTTTTTGGATGGAATTACAAACTTGGTGGATCAGGGAAATGCTGTGGACATAGAGTATACTGATTTCAGGAAGGCTTTTGACATGATATTTTCACAAGGAAGCTGGTAAAATGTGGGTTGAACGAGGTAACTGTTAGGTGGATTTGTAGCTGGTTTACTGACTGAATCCAAAGAGCACTCATTAGATGCCGAAAATCGGGCCTGCGCAGAAGCAATTTTTGGCATGTGGGCATGCACACAAGCGATTTCCGGTGGCACTGACATGCGCACAATTTCCAGTGTCACGGACATGTGCACAATTTCCAGTGTCACGGACATGCACACAAGCTTGTTTTCTCCTGCTCTAGAGGGTAGGACTCAAGTTACAAGAAAGGAAATTCCAACTAAACATTCAGAAAAACTTTCTGACTGTTTGGCAGTGAAACGGTCTCCCTCGGGAGGTGTGGACTCTCCTTCCTTGGAAGTTTTAAGCAGAGGTTGGATGACCATCTGTCATGGATGCTTTAGCTGGGATTCTTGCATTGCAGGGCCTTGGACTAGATGACCCTGGGGACCCCTCCATCTCTAAGATTCTCTGATTGGATGCCCACTAGTGCTACTGCTTCTGCTGCTTCCTCTGCCTTCCTCTCTCTCTCTCTCTCTCTTTTTAAATGATATTTATTAGAAGTTTAAAAATTACAGAAAAAAGAAAAAAGAAAGCAATAAAAAATTTAACAAGACATACATTACATAAAAAGAAAAACATAGAAAAACAATACAACAAAAAGAAACAATAGCACTAAAACACACATCCAATATTCCATATCTTTACCTTTCATTTACTTGTTTCATCGACCTCCTCACACCTCCTTTTTTTGTATTCTAGTTCAATTATTTGTTTCAGCAAATTCTTTCCATCTTTCTCAATTTTTGTTCTATAATTTATCTTAACAGTCTAACCTTAAATTTTTCTTTTGGCCCATTATCAATCAGCTTTTACTTAATTCTTAATTACATTTCTGCTAAAACCATATAACTTCATTCCAGCATCCTTCTAACATTCATTAATTTTGCAATGTTTTTGTAAATATACTTTAATTTTTTTCCAATCTTCTTCCACCGACTCTTCTCCCTGGTCTCGGATTCTGCCAGTCATTTCCGCCAGTTCCATGTAGTCCATCAGCTTCATCTGCCATTCTTCCCTGGTGGGTAGATCTTGTGTCTTCCAGTACTTTGCAATAAGTATTCTTGCTGCTGTTGTAGCGTACATAAAAAAATCCTATCTTTCCTTGGCACCAATTGGCCAACCATGCCCAGGAGAAAGGCCTCTGGTTTCTTCAGGAAGGTATATTTAAATACCTTTTTCATTTCATTATAGATCATCTCCCAGAATGCCTTAATCTTTGGGCATGTCCACCAAAGGTGAAAGAATGTACCTTCTGTTTCATTACATTTCCAACATTTATTATCGGGCAGGTGATAGATTTTTGCAAGCTTGACTGGTGTTATGTACCACCTGTAAATCATTTTCATTAAATTCTCTTTTAAGGCATTACATGCCGTAAATTTCATACCAGTGGTCCATAACTGTTCCCAGTCAGCCATCATAATATTATGTCCAACATCTTGTGGCCATTTAATCATAACAGATTTCACCGTTTCATCTTGAGTATTCCATTTCAACAGCAAGTTATACATTTTTGACAAATTCTTAACTTTAGAATCTAACAATTCTGTTTCCAATTTTGATTTTTCCACCTGGAAGCCTAGTTTTTTGTCCAAATTATATGCCTCCATTATTTGATAATAGTGGAGCCAGTCTCGCACTCTGTTTTTTAATTTTTCAAAACTCTGCAGTTTTAATCTGTCTCCCTCTTGTTCCAAAATTTCCCAATACTTCGGCCATTTGGCCTCCATATTGAGTTTTTTCTGAGCCTTTGCTTCCATTGGTGACAACCATCTTGGGGTTTTATTTTCTAACAAATACTTATATCTTATCCAAACATTAAACAGTGCTTTTCTTACAATATGGTTTTTGAACGCTTTCTGTGCTTTAACCTTGTCATACCACAGATATGCATGCCAACCAAATACATTGTTGAAACCTTCCAAATCCAACACATCCATGTTTTCCAGAAGCATCCATTCTCTCAGCCAACAAAATGCGGCTGATTCATAACAAAGTTTAAGGTCTGGCAGGGCAAATCCACCTCTTTCTTTAGCACTTGTTAATATCTTAAATTTTATATGAGGCTTCTTGCCCTGCCAGACAAATCTAGAGATATCTCTCTGCCACTTCTTAAAACAGTCCATTCTATCCAAAATTTGGAATGTTTGAAACAAGAACAACATTCTTGGCAATATGTTCATTTTTATCACAGCAATTCGACCTAAAAACGATAGCTTCAAATTTGACCATATTTCTAAATCCTTTTTCACTTCAGTCCAACATTTTTCATAATTATCCTTAAATAAATTCACATTCTTAGCAGTCATGTTTACCCCTAAATATTTCACTTTCTTAACCAGTGTCAATCCTGTCTCCTTCTGAAACTTATCTCTCTCAATCTCAGTTAGATTTTTCTCTAAAACTTTAGTTTTCGTCTTATTCAACTTAAAGCCTGCTACCTGACCAAATTCTTGAATCAGTTTTAATACTCTATTAGTGCTTGATTCTGGCTCCTGTAAAGTCAATACCAAATCATCAGCAAATGCTTTCAATTTGTACTATTTGGCTCCCACTTGTATACCTTTTACCAATTGGTCCCTTCTAATCATATTTAACAAAACCTCCAGGACCGATATAAAAAGCAATGGAGAAATTGGACAACCTTGTCGTGTTCCTTTCTCAATCTTAAATTCTTCCGTCACTACATTGTTCACAATTAATTTAGCCTTTTGTTCTGAGTAAATTGCACCTACAGTGGTGCCTCGCAAGACGAAATTAATTCGTTCCGCAAGTTTTTTCTTCTTGCGAGTTTTTCGTCTTGCGAAGCACGGTTTCCCATAGGAATGCATTGAAAATCAATTAATGCGTTCCTATGGAAACCGCTTGCCAGGCTGGCGGTGCGGAGAAGGGCTTTTCTCCCCACCGCAAGCCTTCAGGACAGGTACGGGAACAGAGGGGAAGGCGCGCAGCGCTTTTCCTCTGTTCCCGGGGCTTGCGTGGGAGGAGGGTTTTTCCTCCCCACCGCCAACATTCAGAACAGCATTCTGAATGTTGGCGGTGGGAAGGAAAACCCTTCTCCCACCCCAAGTCTTCAGGACAGCCTTCCGAAGCCTGGCGGTGGGAGGAGGTCT